AAACCATTGACCCTAAGCCACTATAACCCTAAGCCACCTGAACCCTAAGCCTTAAAACCTAACCTAAATCCTAAACCGCCTAAATCCTATGCCCTGAGCCTGCCTGTACAAGCCCTAACTAAAGCCCTAAAACCCTGAACCCGAAACCCTAAACCCCCGCGGCGGCAGCGGCCGACAGTTGCCAGCGCAGTTCGCCAAACAGGCCAGGCCAACAACAACAACAACAAGCAACAAGCAACAAGCAACAAGCAACAAGCAACAAGCAACAAGCAACAAGCAACAAGCAACAAGCAACAAACAACAAACAACAAACAACAAACAACAGCAGCAGCAGCAACAACAACAACAACAACAAGAACAACAAAAACTCCCCAACGACATCATCATACCACCAATAGCATCATCAACAGTGCGGCGGAGCATGACTCTTTGAACATCAGATACTAGATTCAGTTGCAACTTCGATTTTGCTCCGTGAATTCTTCGGGTTTTGGTTTAAGGCTTCCTTTTAAGCCTGAACCCTGCACCCCTTAACCCGAAAGCGATTCTTGCTTGTGGCGCTCGCAGATACTCATAGCCATGTTCACTGGTCCAAGCTCAAGAACCATGAGCTCAGCTGGTCCTCTGACTCTCCATCCTGGGACTCCGCAGCGGAGTCAAACCTCGTCAAAGTTGGGCGCAGGGTTCAGGGCCGGATTCAAGCCCCACATCCTAAATGGGTTGCTGTGTAGGGTGTAGTATAAGCCCCAAGACCATGACTTCACGGACGCTGCCACTCAGCTCAGCAGCTTCACCTTTACAGCGCACGAGCGGTCAGAACAAGCAAGCACCCAGCAACTTGAAGACAAGTCCGCAAAATGCTCCATCGCGGTCCCGCAAAATTCTTCAAACTCACTTTGACATGCGTTGAGCTAATGCCCCAAAGCCCTCTCCCTGTGTCTCATGCACTCACTTAGTTCTGGACAGGCGTGGTCCACAAAAGCCTTTTTTGTCGCCGAAACCCTGAAAAAGCATAAGCAGACAATTGAAACCCTCGAGCAGCTCTTGCAAAATCGAGCAAACACGCACATGCACAAAAGCCCTTGAATCCATCTCCCCCCCCCCCCCACCCACCAATATCAAAAACAGAGCCAAGAGGCAGCAGGGGCTCGTTCTCAGGGATTGCCTGAATAAGATGTTGAAGAAGGGGTAAGGTGGCGTCTTGCTAGGATACCGTCTGAACGAGTCCCAGGAACTCTAGTCGTTCAGGGTGTCTTTCTTTAGGGTTGGTAGAAGGTGTGTACAAGCTATGAGTTGGTGGGTTAAGAGCAGGGACAGGGGAACCTTGTGGTCTCCCAAAGGCGTAACTCCCAGTACTGCTTCACTGCGCACGGCTCTTTTTACTACGACCCAAACCATGGCAGCACGACCCATGCTTGGGGATATTAGTATGAGACTGAGCAGTTGAATAGCAACACCTCTGTTTCACATTCTCGTGTGCAAAGGCCCGTTCTTCGAGGAGACGCAAGTCCGAACCCTAAAACAAACCCCTAAACCCAAAAAACTTCGCCTTTCTTGCCGAGCTTCTGGGATGTCACAGAGGTTGCACGGAGGGTGCTCACGGGACTCCCTGGCATGGAGCCTAAACCCTGAACCCTTGTGCATCCCTATACACCAAAACTCCCTAACACGCAAGTTTAGGGCGTAGGGGTAAGGTCGTGGGATGGAGGCACGCGCCGGGCCAAGAAATCTCCGATAAAACTTGAGCACAGCCTTGGGACGTAAGGAGCTCACTCAGAAAAACATCATTACTAGAGGTTGGCCGTAAGGGGCAGCTTCTGGAATCGCTTTCGAGCGGGACCTTCACCCTGTTGGGGAGGCAATTCATGGGGAGGCCCTTGCGCTCAGACAGGGAGGGCTGAAAGCAAGGCCAACAAGGCCCTGAAGAGAAGCTGGGGCAATCGGAGGCAGAGATGTGGTCAGAGATTTGGGGTTTGGGGTCTAGAGCTTCGGGGTTTGTAGCTACAACGGAACCACGTGCAATGCTCGGACAATCAGGGCGTCAAAGGACCAGCCCCGAAACCCTATGCCCGTGAGATCCAAGCCGCAAGTCCACGCAGACCAGATCCCAGCGTAATCCAGGAACAAAAGGGCATCCCAGGAGTGCAAGGCAAAGGGTCTAAGAGTCGATGGTCCCTAAACTCCAAGCACAAGGCCTAAATGAGCCCGCACAAGACCTTGAAGAAACTTCCCAGAAATCTTGACCTCCAGACCAAACGGCCAGCCCCCCTTTACACCCTAAACCCTAAACCCTGCACTCAGCCACTATGGCCTGTTGAGTAGCGGAGGATTCCAGGACGACAAGGGTAGGTGTGCTTGATCCTCCCGGGGTCTTGAGCTTTAGCGAGGGCGCGTTCGGGGGTTTCGGGTCTTTAGGCGTTTGGGTCTTAAAGTTTAGGGCTTTGGGTCCTAAACCCTAAACCCTACCATTGGAGGGGGGGAGGCGAGGAATCGTAGAAACCCTTGAAGCCCAAACTGAGCGTCAGCTGCTGCACACTTCTGGTCTCTGGTAAGCCCCAAACACTTCATAGATTCTAGCTGAACACTCCGAGACCCCCAGCAAGGCCCTGTCCCGGGAAAGTCCAAAGATCTCCCCCTTCCCACCCCTACGCGCTTGCCACCGCGAAACGGATCGTGCTCGTCCCTCCCCGGCAGGGAGGTCTGCAGCATTCAAAGCGCGAGGGCGGGTCTCCGGGCTTAGGGTGTTGGGCCTTCGGGTTTCCAGGGCTTCCTGTTCAGAGTCTGCCCTAAACCCAAGACCAAAACTGCCAGACTTGCGCAAGAACCCCAACCGCCGGCAGCACATGATGGTACGTGTAGAACACCATGACCCACAACGGAGGCACCCTAAGTCAAAACAACTGTTATAAGCCCCACCTGCGTACACTCCCGTCGATTCTCCGCGATCTCGCTCACCAGCCAGGAGCTCAGGCCCTGTCTCAGGGGTCGGCGGACCCCTGAGAGGGTTTAGGGCTTGAGGGGTCGGGGTTTCGGTTAACAAAAAGCGCGAGGCTGGGCGGCACCCCCAGTTGTTATTTCTCTTTTTGTAAGTTTCGTGTTCGTTCTTTCGTTCGTTCTTTCTTTGGCTCTTTTGCTCTTTCCTTCTTTCCTTCTTCTCTGCTTCGGTCTTAATATGTCTTTTCTTTCATTCTTTCTTTCCCCCCCTCCCAAGCCCCAAGCTCCTCCGCAAAAGCAATAGAGAAGCAGAGGTTCTTGAGAAAGCGAAACCTTCCACCTGCTTCCGTGCGCACAGAGCTATGGTTTTGGACACCATAGCCGTCGTTATTTGTGGATTCGCTCTTGCTGCCACAGCCGCTTACATAGACCGCTGCTCATTTGGAGAGGAGAAACGGAGAGAACAGCAACTGGATCCCAGGTTACTGCCATATGCTCGGCCCCCCTGTGGACATGTCAGGGTTGAGTGCCAGGGCCACAGCGCGAAGCGCAGACCCCCCATCCTAAGGACGCCCCAACGGCTAAAAAATTGGAGCAGCTTGGATCATTGCCGAGTTCCGAAGCGCAGATCCCCGATGTGGACGCCGATCCATGTGTATTTGCACAGAGTGATGCGAATCAACCCTCGCCCCCCCCCCCACCCCCCCGATAGGGGAAAGTTGGGCTCAGCATCGAACATCAACATTCGCGCCTGGGGGGAACTCGACGAAGGCCAGGAGCGGCGCCGGGCGGAGGAGAAGCGCGACGCCTGGAATCAAGATCTGCAATTACAGCCTATGCTGCTCTCACTCTTGCAACTAGAATGCACTTCAAGCGGCACTGGCCCACCGGATTATACGGCCGCCATGGCGCGACCTCACGCGAATCGCAAGAAACAGAGACCAATATGTGCACCGGCTGCATTCTACCGCCCCCCACCTCCCAATATACTGGTAGCAAACACCAACGAAAGTCCCACAGAAACACCTGGATGTGCTCGCGTCCTAGTCCATGTTTCGCAGATTCGCCCTCCCAATCCCCTCGCTTGTGGATGCACACATCCCATCAACACTTACCACAAAGTACTGGCTTTTCGTTCATGTTTTGCAAATGGGTGGGGCTGCGCCCCCCAACTGCCCCGCTTGTTGCGTTTGCAAGCACATCTTGTTCTCACGTTCCACAAATCGGGGGCCGCCCTCCCAATCCCAATTCCTTGATTCTTTATTCGCAAGGCAATTCAAAACTAACGTCAACATTTGCAAACGCCAACCGGACGCTGTTGTAAATGCCGAGCCGAAACGTTGGACATCCCCCACCCCTACCAGCCCCCCTGCTTGGTTGTGAGATTCTTTCCACACCCCATGTTTTCGAGCCCTCCACTCCCATTTCTAATTACGGGAATCGGGCTCTGCTGTGTCACACATGTTCGCGCAGCTCGCGTGAAGCGTCCTTGTGATGTGACGGTATACCCATAGTTGCAAATTTCGCGTGGAGCGTCCGGGCACCAACCCCCGGCCTCCACAGCAAAAAACATGCGCCCGACCTCCGCAAGCAAAAGACGGAAGAAGAAACGCCCAACTGGGGGCGTGCATTTTGTTCTTATCTGTTGCTGTTTTTTGCTATGGAGGCCAGGCATGGCGTTTTTTGGCTGGCCGTGCGTGTTGCGACGCTCCACGCTCCACGCGAGAGCGGCCCGCGCCGCAGCCCGATTCGCCGGAAATGCTCTGCGTGGCGCGTCGTTGTGGAGCATCCTCGCAACGCGCCTGGCCTGCGCAGCAAAAACATGCTCCAGGCCTCCATGGAGAGAAAAAAAAACGCAGCAAAAAGGCAAAAAAAAAAACAAAAAACTCTCCTCCTACCGTTGAGGACATCCTTGGCTTGCTTTGGAATGCCAAGGCTCTAAGGCTTTGGAAAAACCCTGCAAGGCCGTGTCTCACGCGCACATGGATCAATCCTACCGCTTGAGCCCTGCAGGCCCCAGTATTGAAACGTAAGCCAGTGGGAGCAAAGTGAAGACGACCTTCAACCCGCATCCTGCGGTTCTCAAATCCCAACCTGGTGTCTATCGTGCTCCCAACTTTCCTGCCCCGCTCCAACGCAAAGGCTTTCCAAAAGCCGCATAGAAAAACATGTCTCCACAGATAGAAGGCACTTGCTGCCTTCAAGACACCCACAAGGACCTAAGGAGGAATTGGACCATATTGAACCATACTGAACCCTCGGTCTGCACATGGTTCTTGCGCTGCTTTCTGAGGGCTGGGCGCGGGCTTGCCACATGTGTTTCCGAGCTTGCTTTCTACAGGATGCTTTGTGAGTATCAAGTTTCCTGAGACCCCGCCACAGATTCAGACAAGCGTATAGCCGCGGCTCTTCGTATCACAAACCCATTTCTCACTATCCACAGAGGCATCGGACGCAGCAGAAACTAGAATCAGCCCAGCTGCTCCTTCTTGGGCCCCTGCGGCCTCGGCCCGTGCCTCGGCCGTGGCCTTGGCCTTTGCCGTGGCCTGGCCTTAGTTGATAAGAGGATTTACCCCAAACCCTACAGTCATGAGGCGACCATCTGCTTCTGGGGTAGGGAGATGCATGGAGCCTCCCGCGTCGGTCATCTGGTCAAGGTGTGGCTGTTTCAGGGCAGCGTGCAGCTTATTCATGCTCAATCACGCAGTCGTTCAGGGTTCAGGGTTGTGCGGCAGGTTCCATCTTGTTCGTGGCCAGTGTGTCATTCTTAGGGCACTCCGGCCTCTGCCCAGTGGGGTGGATAGTGACCTGGAGATGCCAGCAGTTGTGACTTGCTTGCCTCGGCTGTCTGTGTTTGCATCAATAGAGAATTGTCGCTTTACAGGATTGGAATATTGTGAAATATAAGAAACGACAAAAAGAATCGGAGGAACGGGGTCGAGCAGCCATCAAGGTTCGGAGTAGCACCTGTAGCTGAGATGACCAATCGGCACTATACGTATGCATAACTGCGGGCGGAGCCCAACACTCTTGCATGTCCAGGTAAGGCACCGAAAGTGATCTGCGGGTCGAAGGAATTCAGATTGCCGATTGGCATAGTCAGCAAACCGGCCTGTTCACAAGCTGCTGCGCATGTCGCGCACGCTCACCCGCTGTTCGTTCCAATTTGCAAAGGTTCGAAAGTCTTTGCACACAACATGCCGGCGCCCGTCATGATCATCTCAACAGATGTTTCTGAAACACAGCACGTGCAATCCAGCAGAACTGAGCCGGCAGCGTGATCTGTGCTTGCGCGGTTCTGATCCGGCGGTATGCCGCGCTTGAAACCATCCACCAACCCGACCCAACCAACCCGAGGCCCATTTCAAGATCCCAACCCTAAACCCGAAGTTTTGCCGCGTCTGAGTCCTAAACCTATGCCATGGCCGCCGGCCCGGCCTTTGCGTGCCTTAGAGGGCCACTTTGCTCGACCCGTTCGAGCTGCACGCTGGCCTCATGAACACCAAAAGCCACAGGAAACCCTAACGGTTCAAAGGGTTGACGGCTTAGGGCAGTAGTTGTTCACTGCTGCGCTGCCAAGCTTCGTCGATGTCTCCACCGGTGGCGACGGTCTTGGTGTGCACGAGATCGAAACATGTTTTCGCCTGGGTTGCGTCGTCAGGATCGGGTTGAGCCCACAGGACATAAAGGCCTTGGAGTCTTCCACACTGAAGGGCAGGGTCATCAGAGGTGACCTCAACACCAGATGCCAATTCTGAACCTCCTCCCTTGCCACCCTCAAATCTGCTTCAAGCTGTCTCAATCTAAGCCCATGAGCCCTCAAAATCCTCTCGAAACTCGCCCTCTTCGTCCCTTTTCCCTTCACCGGCTCTGCCATCCTCCCCCCTACCCGGTTTCCCTCGGTTTCCTCGGCCTTGGGGTTCCCTGCTTTGGGCTCGTCGTCGCTGTCTGGCAGTGGCCCTGCCTCAGCGCCATCCTTCAGGGTTCGAGGAATTGCAAGGTCGCTGTCAGGGGGTTTAAAGGCTTCGAGGTTCAGCTGAAGACGAGGGTCAGGGTATGGGGGGAATGGAGCATCATGTCCATGCCCTTGCCGCGGTTCGCACGGAATCTCGGAATATGCTGCAGCTGCCGGCCGCAATTAGGGGCTACGAGTTTGGCCCCTCTCATAGTAGGAAAGAGGATCACCAAGCCGAAGAAGGCCAAGCTCAGGCAAGTCGATATACACCCAAGTCACCAAATCGGACTAGTTTTGTTCTGTTTAGGTTTGGGGATGTAAGCGCGGTTTGCAGTTCATGTACTCAGACATTGGCGTTTGGGGCTTAGCCGGTGGCAAGAAGGGGGTGGTGACCCGGCAGACCGTCCTCCTCTTCCTCAGCCTCCTTCCAGTCGCACCGCCTCGGAACACGTTTGCTTCGGAGGGGTTCGGGGCAAGTTTGTTTTCTTCCCTTGGTTCTCTTGGTTCTTTTGTTCTTGTAGGTCACTGGTCACTCTCATTTGGCGTGAAAGCTACCGGACCACGCTTTCAATCAGCATCCTGCTAAAAAGATTCCAGGGTTGGGATCCCAGCCCCGAAATAGGTATTCTTTAGACTTAAACGCCTTTCAATCTGCGAATTCTGTGACTCTCTCAGACCACGATTATGGGCAGGTCTTGGGTCGACTGACGTCAGGACAGCTGGCTCACACTTCTCCGCAAACAGAAAGCAGAGGGCTGACATAGATGCCGACCAAAGCACTTGTTTGCGCCCGTTGTGGATGCAAGAGTGTTCCATGGCAGGTCAAACGTCTGCCAGTTGGCGAGTGGCACTTCACTTACGTGGGATTGCGTGTACGCGTTTTTGCTTCTTCAGCGGGTATGGAAGCTCATCGACATGGCATCGGCTATTTTGTCTGTTTTGGTCTTGGGGTGGGATTTGGCAAGACTCAGAATGTAATTAAGCTTTACTGACCATGCAAGCAATCTGCATTGTTTGCATCATCTCCATGGTGAGCGAATTAAAGCCCAGTATAGAGCTGCGCGTGCACGCAAAACTCACATAGAAAGTGAGGAGGGCATGGGGCGTCTTTGGCATGTGGGACGAAACCTTGTGTGCTGGGGATTGCGGAGATGCCCTGAAATGCACCAGAAGGGTCAACTTGCTACTTCGCCTCAGCGCGGTTCTTGACTCAGCGCCCGGCCGGACCACGGAGATGTAAAGAGGCGTCCACAAGTTCAAGCTGCGCCGACGAGGGCCATGGCGACTGGATTTATCTGGGTTTTAGGGGGTACACGTAGGCCTTAGGGTCACATGTAGACTAAAACGGGTTTAGGCCCTGCTCACTTTGCTCGCTCTGAATGCATGGCTCATCTTGCTGGGGGCTCTTTGTTCGCCCTCTGTGAGGCCGAAAGGACTTTTCAGGCACATGCTGGCAATGTTTCATGCCTCTGTTCAGGAACAGGGCCTCTTCATCAGTCATCTCGATAGTAATTATTCAGCCTCAACCAATTAGTTGATTTTAAACGCAATCCTTGCGGCGAGCTTTGTTTCCACTGAGCTGAGCCGCCGTTGTCACTCTGAAACCTTAACCAGCGAGTTGAGCACATGCTGCAGCTGGAACCTGAGCTGTTTGTGGGTGATGTGAAAAGCTAGGATGGCCCTTACAACCCTCTGAACGATAATCCTGAATATGCAGTAAGGGAGAATATAAAATGTCCCAAAGGCCTACCTGGTAGGGATTTTAAGTTTGAGTTAGATTGGCTAGAGAGTCTTCTGCCATCTTCTCCTGGCCTAGGCACTCGGACGTCTTCGACAATGGAGTCAAAACCCTAACCCCTAACCCCTAAAACCCGAACATCTAACTGTGCACGCGGCTTCTGGACGTAGCTGTCGCAATCCTCTTGCCATGGAGCACATGTCCGAAAGACGAAGACTGCGCAGAGTCCCCCCTCAAACCCTAAACCATAACGCCCAAACCCTATTTAAACCCCAAACCCGAAACCCTATAGGGATCCCTGAAAAGGAACCTTTGGATTGTCAAGGGCCAAGAAGAGGCTTCGGTGGCCCTGGCACTCCTTCAAACGTCCCTACTTCTGGGGATTTCTTTTGCGAGGGTCCTTCTTAAGATCCTCTGCTCACGTTTTTCAGTGAAGGGGTTTGGGGTCACTTAGTTTTGTCGTGGGGCAAATCCTCCAAACCCAAATCAGACATACGGTGCGGAAAAAAAACAAACCCTGTTGGGACTGGCCAAGTAGGCACTACATGAGCTAAGCATGCAGAAGCGCCGCATGAGCCGGCCGATGCTTCCAGGCCTGGAGCTCTTAACCATGATTTGCAAAAGCCTGCAAACACAGCCCACCAACAGTTGCAGCCCAACGCACACTACTTCAACGCAGAGCTTGCTGCGACTCTCTTGTCTGGTCCTGGACACCGAGTCCGACCAACAGCGACTCACCTGCGCAGCAGTTTCGACGTTTGGGGGTTTGGGCCTCATCTGGCTCTCCAGGCCGCAACAACACGATCTCCCAGAACGCTCGAAAAGGGTTGCGGACTCCACAGTAGGGATTTTTTCAAGGTAACGTTGCGTGGAATTAGCGATTGCACAATGTTTTAGGGCCGAGGCAATTGAAAAGCAGCTATTTCCTTCATTGCTGTCCTCCTACTCGACTCCTACTCGAACTCTGAACTCATGCTCTGCGTTTAGGGTTTAGGAAACATGTGGGTGGTGGGTGTTGAGAGGTCCTTGGCCCTAAATGGGTAGTCCCTGAAATAGCGATGCCCTGCCCTCACAATCCCCAAGCCCTAAACCCCATTTTCGAAACCACGCGATACCACCCTAAACCCTAAACCCTAAACCCTAAACCCTAAACCCTAAACCCTAAACCCCCATCCCTCCAAGGCTTGTTGGGCACGGGTCGCCTTCCAGCAGCAAAGAAGACGCGAACCTCGCCCAGCTGAACCCTACACCCCCGAGTAAACTGCACGGTTTAGGGTTTAGGGATTAGGGTTTAGGGTTTAGGGTTTAGGGTTTCGGGTTTCGGGTTTCGGGTTTCGGGTTTAGGGCTTTCCCAAAAGGAGCAACACCGGCGTGCGTGAGCAGAGGGCTGTGCTTTCGTGAAGCTCTAAGATGCTTTCATTCTCAGGGCTTCTAGGACTTAGAACTGTTTGCAGGGCTTCACGAGACTTTAAGCTTCAAAGATGTTTAAAGGCCAATTTTGGCGATTTGGCTCATGGGGGTTGTCATCCCTGAACCGTGTGGCTGCCGAGCTGAGCCGCTGGATGTTCTCACAGTCGTCCGGGTCTTGCTCCTCAGCACACGACGACAGTGCTGCCAATCGACAGCACCTTATAACGGATATTTTGTGGCTACCACGGGTGAACTCAACTCAGGCTTTTGCGGCTATACTAATCACTAGTCCCAAGTTCAGCCAGGAAACGCTGCTAAAACAGAACTCCGTGGTCACGGCCTCAAGATGGAAGGGGTAGTCGCCTCGTGCATTGCGCAGCTCTGGATGGAACCCTGGGACGTACGTGAACCGTTAGCCTGTTGGGCCAAAGGACAAACGCAACCCCGCAGGGTGCCGGCCTGAAAGAGTGAAGAACTGATGGCTGTAATGGTGCGGCAGGAAGTAGCCTGCAAGACCAAGACTGGGAAACGGGCGTGCCTTCAAACGGGCTATCCTCCTGGAGCGGTTCACAACTGTTCACAGCACATCTAGCAACCAAGGCCCCTGAACCCAAACTCCCCCCACGAGACGAGATTCCGGGTGCCCCTTTACCCTAAACCCGAAAACCTTTTTTGAACCCGGACTTGCTGAATGTTTACCCTAAACCCTAAACCCTCAAGCCTTAAACCCCAGATGGAGACCCTAAACCTCTTTTATTCCTGGCAGGCAAGAGCGCCTTTGGACACCTCATCGACGCCGCGACGCAGGTGGCCCAGGCCAAGGAAAACCTGCACTTTAGGGTTTAGGGCCGTTTAGGGTTTAGGGGGTTTAGGGTTTAGGGTTTAGGGCTCTGCAAGCTTTCTCAGCTTCAAACCATTATACCCCCACCTAACATAGGGGCCTGAATACTTAGAACAAGGTTTTGGGGGATATTTATCGAAGAATAATACAAGGACGATGAGGGAATACTAGCAAGATTTATCCCGACCGCTATGTGATACTATAACATCACTAATAGGAGCATTTGATATTCGGGGAGGGGATTAGGGCTCAGCTGTGTTTCCTTTTGGGCTTTGGGGGTGTTTCGACTCTCACACTGGCACAAAGCGGGCGAGGCTTCGGGTAGGTGCGTGCTTCGGGGTGATTAGGGTCTTCGGCTTTGGGATTTCTAGGTGAGTTTTTGGGTGTTTTAAGTCAGCAATCAGCTAGGTTTCATCATGTTCCATTCTTCTGAGGTTGCGGGATGAGGTGGCGGATCCACGACCTGGTTGCACAAAGCACAACCTACACTGTCAAGATCTGTCAAGGACGGAGCTTCTGTGACGTCTTGAGCCTTGCAGGCAAACCCTTGTGGAAGTCAACCCGAAACCCTTTTCACAAGGGACTCGACTGCTGCCGTTTCAACCTGAAACCCTAAACCCTAAATCCTGAACCCCTCTTGCCTGTAGCTTCGCAATCCAGACCTCGGCTCCGATGTCAGCAGCTGGCTGTTTTTAAGGGAAGGTCCCAGCGCTTACCGAATGTGTTTGGCTGAATGCACATGTTCCTGGAACCTGGATGATGACCCATCGTGTCCCTATACAACCTCCTACCCTAAACCCTAAACCCTAAACCCTAAACCCTAAACCCTAAACCCTAAACCCTAAACCCTAAACCGTAAAGCCTGGGCTTGAAGGCTTTGGGGTTCAGAGGACAAGCGGGACGGGAACTCAAATCACTGCCGAAACCGCGTCGGAAGGGTGTCCTCTGAGAGGGATCGACTCTGTGCTTTGAGATGTGAAGTCAGCCTAAGTTATGGGCCCTTTTGGATCTTGTGCTGCAATCCTTTCTGCAAGTTCTGGGGAACCCAGAAGCACTCATCATGGGGTGATTGCATCAAAGCTTGTAGATGCCTGGAGGTGCTGGCAGCAAACAAAAAGCCGACGAGGCGATGCATAACGGTGCAGAAACAGCGCAGCTGACATTACCCGAAGACGCAGACTCCATACTCACCCTTGCTACGACATTTAGAGTACTCCCTTCCTCCCAAAAGGAATCTCTCTTCTTGTCTTCTGAGCAGACTGGTGAGACTATTTTGCCACTGTTTTGCTGAACCCTTAGGAAACCACTACTTCTAAAAACCCTATAATTACCAGAAACCCTCGACCAGACGGGACTGCGTTCTGATTTCCTCAGTGTGACTTTGAAAGCCATGACTTACCTGCTCTTACGCAATGAAACAAGCCCCGTGGCCGCGCAGCCCTTCAGCAGCCTCCTTCTGCTGGCTTTTTTGTGCACTTGCTGAACTCCAAGCTCTCCGGAGTGTCCAAATCCCATCACTGCACGCGGAAGCACCGAAGACTTGAGACGAGCATGTGCCTGGTGTGGAGTTGCTGACCGCCACCAGCCACCGCGGACCCAAGCAGGACAACCGAACAGCCACCCGCATTGTCACCATGAAGACCATGACCACGCCTTAAAATTTCTTACCTCAACCTGACCGTTCAGCAAGGGGTCCTCCGCGGCCGACAACGCCCTGCCACGGCTCCAGGCGCAAAGGCCAGGGCGTCGGGGCCTCGAACTGGTGCACCGGGCTTGGAGGGGGGCACAGCAAGGTTCTGAAACAGGCCTTATAAACCCTTTCGCATCTGGGCTCGCAGTGACAGCCAGAATGCAGGCTTTCCGCGTCAAGCAGCTAACCAATGAACCCTAGTTTAAACCCCGAACCCCAACAAGCCGGAAGTGTTTTAAGACCAGCGGCCGGGCGAATGCACAACGTCTGGATGGAGCCGTTCTGATTCCAACTGTTTGACTGACTGCCCTCCTCAGGAGTGCTCGAGCCCAACTACTTCTTGATATATAGATAGGTGGGGGTCTCTGAAATTAGGGATCCCTTATTGGGGTCTGTATTTTTAAGGGGATCCTACTATTTGGGGTGTCCATTCCGGGGGTCCTCCCATACATACATGCATACATATGTGCATGTGCTCCATACCTTGCGGAGAACGTCATGCACTGCAACCGACACACCTGCCAGACATATTGCACAGAGGCGCCACCAGGTGTTCTACTCGATCGATGTGTCCAACTACGGTGGGATAGATCCGGTCCTGAATGGAGGGAGTTTTTTGAGGGTTTAAGGTTTAAGGTGCAGAACTGGAGGATGTACAGCTGTGTTGGCCAAGTTGATTTCGGCTTTGGGACTTGGCAACCCTATGGGAGCCTGGGTTAACTTCGGGCTGAATTGAAGTTGAGCGATCCTGGTTTGACTGGAAGATGTGAGGTAGCAGATAGAGCAACTGCAGTAGCTCTCGAAGCAAGAAGCTCTAGGGGAATGACCAGACCCTCGAAGCACAAACAAAGCTTGCGATGTCATTGTCGCGGCTCCAAGACGTAGGTAGCACCGTGCCGCTCCAATATTCCCAAGTTCTTCTTGGGGCTGTGCGGGGCGGCACAGTCCTTGCCAACGATCTGCCATGCACACTTGACAGACAGGCAAGCGAACATCCATACCCTCGTGAACATGCCGCGCAATTAAAACCACTCGGCACAGTAAGCATGCACATGGTTTCTGAAATCACACAATGATGTCATGGTACTTTTGCTATGTACAAGCGCATGCACTGGCATGCTTGAGGATTCCGTGTTTTTGTCGTGCAACATAGAGTCCTACTTAATTAGAATGATAAATTTGGCTACTTTCTATCGTAATGCGGCTTATGAGAGGCCCTAAACCCCCTAAACCCTAAACCCTAAACCCTAAACCCTAAACCCTAAACCCTAAACCCAAAACCCAAAACCCAAAACCCAAAACCCAAAACCCAAAACCCAAAACCCAAAACCCAAAACCCTAAACCCTAAACCCTAAACCCTAAACCCTAAACCCTAAACCCTAAACCCTAAACCCTAAGCAGGCCTTCACTTGCTGGAGGTCGGCCATCTCCAGCTTCGCCGACAGCCGGCCCAGCGAGGCCTGGTCGAGTCAACTCCCAACCCTCTTGAATCAGAGGGTTTAGGGTTTAGGGTTTAGGGTTTAGGGTTTAGGGTTTAGGGTTTAGGGTTTAGGGTTTAGGGCCCAGCACACCATAGGATTTAGAGTTTAGGACCATGCTAGTACTTCTTCTGAAAATTCATTGACGTACACACACATAGAAAATTAGAGGGTCGTAATAATGGTGATTTTCGGGTTATTTTATAACAACCTTCCGAGGACGTGTCCGTACCAACTCCCCGATTTTCAACTACCAAATGCCAGACACAAAAAAGTAAGGTATCGCCATCAAAAGTGCCTTACGAATACCTGACTCTAAGGCGGAACTCCATAGCCCATGAATTCCAGGGGACGGGAATAACGCAACCTCGTCCCACTCGCCTCGGCAAGAACTTCTCAGCCAAAGTGATGTCCATCTTAGCCATTGGGTTCAGAAACCGAAATAAACGAGAATGAAATATCAAATATATGGGTTTAGGGTCCCGCGTGGTCGGGTTTAGGGTTTAGGATTCAGAGTTTAGGGTTTAGTAGGGTTTAGGGTTTAGGGTTTAGGGTTAAGATTGAAGGTTTGGGTTAGGGTTTAAGGTTTAGGGTTTAAAGAAACTCTAAACCTAAGTCCCCGACCACGCCGGACCCCATAGCCAAATATATGAGATTTTCATAAAGATAGAATCAAGAATATATTATCTTTCAAAAAAATCATATTATTATTCAATCCAATCCGAGAATTCTTAAATCACTATAAATATATGAATTTTGATTCGTAGAAGATCCTGACTAGAACCTCCCAGAAAAAATCGAGATTTTCTTATACATACAGAAGATGCAAAATACAAAGCCCAAAGAATCCGATAATCCTAAATTAAAGTCAATATCTTAAATCATATTCAAATTCCCTATGTAAGTTAAATTATCTTTCCTTCATGATATGAATGATATATTGAATTTCTTATATCATTTTTTTCTAAATTTATATTTTATTTTATGAGAGAAATCTTTCAATATCATACTATTCCATATTCAAGATATCTAAAAATTTGCGTACGGATAGATTGGAGGTCCATGCCTTATGTCATTTATTTTCGGGCAATTATCGTTATGGGTCCTTTGGCGGTGAAGATACATGATCGGTTAGTTAAGCGCCGGGCTGCAGCCCACTGACTCAGCCCCCGATGCCAGCTGCCGATGTCAGAAAACGTCAGCCCCAACCCGCTCTGTCTCGGCAATAGCCCGCCAAACACGCTCGACGAGTCATTCCGGACATGGACTGATTTGTTTCGAAGCTGCATTTCGAAAACAAAAATCATACCTTCAGGAGACCCTTCAGCGCAGGAGGAGATTAAATCGCCAAAGTCTGGTGCTTTCTGACTGAGGAGTGTCTTATTGGTAGAAAACTATGACACGCTATCACCCGAAACCCAGGATTCATTACGTGGGCCCTCGCTGAACAACAGCGACCGCAGGTCTCTATGGAGCCCTCCCCCCCGCCCCGGGGTTGACAACCCGAATACTCCGAAGACTTGATGCTAGAAACCTGAGCCCTGTTGAAAGGATCAGGGGACTTAGTAAACAGGGGCCATAAGAGTCCTAATTGAGTTATGATGGGCTATACGTAGATATAAGTATAGATACCTGAATTGTTTCAAAAAGTATAAACCCAGGAGGCTACGTCGACTCTTGCCACCAACGAAATGCCGAAAGCGCAGGAAAGCCTGCCGCGAAACTCATCTTGCTGGTTTTAGGGCTTCTAACCCAAATGACTAAAAGCTGCTGAATCCTACATCACCCGAACCCACATACCCTCAACCCTGAATCTCAGTCCCTTGCCCGATCTGTGCGGACAACTGTTGGGCGAGGGGGTTCGTTTTCTCATCATCTGTTCACTGGAAGGTTCTCTTGTCCACTGTGCTTTCAAAAAAAATCGAATTGTTCGTATGACGGTCAAGGAGACGCTTGCCCTCTTCTTCTTTTTTCCCGACTGAGCGGTCTGTATCCTATTCTTCCACTTCGTTCACCTTGTGAAGTTCAATGGGTGAAACATAGCAGCAAATCTCCCTAGGCTCAACAATAACATTGAATTTCTGGATCTGGGTCCCTTTCGGCACCAACTTCTTCATGCGTGGGCGAGTCCACAGGCACGTCGTGTCTTCTGTCGTGCCTGCGGGCCTTGCAAGGATTTCGTCCAAAGAGGAAGCGAATTATGATCGGCCCTACACAAACAATTCTGACAATCCGAGCTGGACCAAGCATGGACGTCACAAGCATCAGTGGTACGACTCCAAAGTGCGCAAAAGCGTCAAATGAAAACCCCCCCCACATGCCACTCATACCAGGAAGGAGAAGCAGCAAAACGAAGGTGCTTTTCACAGAAAAAGATTTTCTCTCAGCTGGCTGCAACAGAAACATCATAGGCCACACAAGAGCCTCGAGGGCAGCAGCAACAAGCAAAATCCAGTGGGACACAGGCGGTTGGGAAAAGAGCGCAAAGAGAATGTGATCGATTCTCCATTTCTTGACTTGGTAGAACTGGAAGACCAAATAGGCTGAAGACGCCGTGAACAATGATCTGCTCCAGCCCGAACAATTTCCAAGTTGCCCAGCTCGCTCCGTCACTAGGCGCAACTCTCTCGTGGAGACGTTCATGGTCAACAATGTATCCACCATCTCATCGACGGCGTTCAACTGCCCACTTTGATTAATTTCCATCATGATGTTTCGCTTATCCTCCGCGTTGGAACTCTCGGCATCTCCTTGCGGGCCAAGCTTGTCAATGGTAATCTTGGCTGTTAGACTCTGATTCCCTAAACCCTAAACCCTAAACCCTAAACCCTAAACCCTACACCCTAAACCTACTCTACTCGGTCTGCAAGGCCGAGGCTCAACTTTTTTACCCAATTCAAAGTACCCAGTTGTGAGATGGTTTTGTTGGAGGAGTTGGAGCTGAGGGCTTTGAAGATGCTCTGAAGGCAAAAGAAGTAGACGCTTCAAGAGTCCACTGGGTTTATTCTTGGGGAAGCTTTGAACAACAAGAAATCATCATAACTGAAGACGTAGGTCTGAAGACGTGAAAACTCTTGTTAAACCAAGCTAACACAATTTTGTCAGGACTGAACCCGAGATCGAGATTCACTGAATGGAGGGTGGAAGGGGGTGCGATTACTCCGTTCTGGTTAGCGAAACACTGAAAGTAGCTCAGTTAAAAAGTTGAAGCACCGAGCATACAACATAATGTTGCACCGACAAGCGTCGAACCGTTCCTGTGAAGCCTCTGCGCAGCTGCTGAGCTTGTCGAGCAGCCTCCACCCCCCGCAATCGGTCTCCCACCAGCGCAGGAACTGCAGCCAGCGACAACACACATGCAAATAGCACAGGAACATCTGTGAGGCCATTCATGCAGATGTCGATGGCCAAGAATGCATCCTGGGCTGACGCTCAATCATGGAGAAGTTCAGAATTGCTGGTCAAGCCGTACAACCAACCATCAAACTAGTTTGAATTTACGCTCCAGGCTATGGCAACCTCATGCGACATGCTGAAGAGCTCTCATGAAAGGAACGCTGACGCAGGAAGTCGGAGCATCTAATCTAGGAAGGGGAATGTCGCACTAAAGATGCAGAAAGGGCCGCACACAAACACACACAGGTACATTGCAGTGAACCTGGGCACAAGCCAGGGTCATGATGCGACGCCAAGTTTCCACGGAAATGGCAAAGACGTAGATTGCAAGCTGGCATGTGATCCAATGATGCTTCCTCATCACGAAAAGAAACATTATCCCACCGCCAGAGGCTGCTGCTGAGATGAAGAATGCAAGGCGCGCATCCCACAGCGGTTCCCAAGTTTTCCGGGCAAGGCCAACGTAGGTAGCTTGTGAAATGACGGTCAGAAGTCCCGCAGCAAGAGCTGAAAGGCCAACGCAAGAGACCTGTAGCATGTCTGACCCCGTGGCCACTGGAGCTTGAGCCACCCGAATGGGCTTGTTCCAGGTGTATGCCAGGAATGCTTCATAAACACACCAAATACGTGAGTAAATGCTGCTGATGATGATGATGAAGTTGAGGGCAACAACCTGTGCTTACCTAGATGCGGTTAGATGCCCGCCGTCAAGATTAAAAATAAAAAAGATCTCCGCAGGCAGCTAAACTGCGCGGGACCCTTCCGAAAGGCCGAACTCAAACAGTCCTGACCGGAAGCGAATTCGGCCGTGCAATTCCTTCGAGGTCAGCTGGAAGGCCCGGAGCCTCCAGCGGGCAGCTTGGGGACCTCGCCTCGCTTCATCTGCTTGTGTTCTTCCCATCTTCGCAGAGCTGCGCTACGCCCGATCTTCATGGAAGGCGACCACAACGGGTGGGCCGATCCCCCCTCCGATTCGGTGTAGATGGTGATACCAGATTCGGAACCATCGCTGTCCACACTAGCGTCCTCCGGTTCGGCGCCAGTCTCCTCGGTCGGGACCCCACAGTGTCTCTTGCACGGAGGCGTGAGTCCTGTGTGGCCCTTTTCGAAAACATCCGGCGCTTTGCTCCTCCTTGGTGGCGTGACCTCTCCAGCAGCCGTCTGAGCGTCCCCAGCTCCAAACGTAGCAGTGTCCGCCGTCCTCTCCGTCTCCATATCGCCAGCTTCTGCCTGCGCGGTGTTCGTAGGCACCCCGTCGCCCTTGTCAAGTGCAGCCGCTGCCCTGGCTTCCTTCTTGCGCTGGCGCCTCCTACGACGCTTAGCCTTGATGGCCTCGCGCCGGGCCTCCTCCTCTTCACCGCCAACGTTCCGGTCAGCAGGAGCGGACTCAATCACCCGGGGCCGTCGCTGCTGGCTAGGCGCCGCAGTGCCAGCAGCAGCCGACACTGCAGCGGCCGCAACCGCAGCAACCGTCCGTCGAGGTGCTCGAGCCTCGCAGGCAGCACGTACCGCAGCTGCCACGAGTGACGCTGCATCGGAAACTGCCATGGCACCCTATGGCTGAGCAGCGGGGGACCTACTCAGCACAGCATTCGCTTGGGCCTTAGTAAATGCTGCTGATGATGATGATGATGATGATGATGAAGTTGAGGGCAACAACCTGTGCTTACCTAGATGCGGTTAGATGCCCGCCGTCAAGAAGAAATTTAAAAAAAAAGATCTCCGCAGGCAGCTAAACTGCGCGGGACCCTTCCGAAAGGCCGAACTCAAACAGTCCTGACCGGAAGCGAATTCGGCCGTGCACTTCCTTCGAGGTCAGCTGGAAGGCCCGGAGCCTCCAGCGGGCAGCTTGGGGACCTCGCCTCGCTTCATCTGCTTGTGTTCTTCCCATCTTCGCAGAGCTTCGCTACGCCCGATCTTCATGGAAGGCGACCACAACGGGTGGGCCGATCCCCCCTCCGATTCGGTGTAGATGGTGATACCAGATTCGGAACCATCGCTGTCCACACTAGCATCCTCCGGTTCGGCGCCAGTCTCCTCGGTCAGGACCCCACAGTGTCTCTTGCACGGAGGCGTGAGTCCTGTGTGGCCCTTTTCGAAAACATCCGGCGCTTTGCCCCTCCTTGGTGGCGTGACCTCTCCAGCAGCCGTCTGAGCGTCCCCAGCACCAAACGTAGCAGTGTCCGCCGTCCTCTCCGTCTCCATATCGCCAGCTTCTGCCTGCGCGGTGTTCGTAGGCACCCCGTCGCCCTTGTCAAGTGCAGCCGCTGCCCTGGCTTCCTTCTTGCGCTGGCGCCTCCTACGACGCTTAGCCTTGATGGCCTCGCGCCGGGCCTCCTCCTCTTCACCGCCAACGTTCCGGTCAGCAGGAGCGGACTCAATCACCCGGGGCCGTCGCTGCTGGCTAGGCGCCGCAGTGCCAGCAGCAGCCGACACTGCAGCGGCCGCAACCGCAGCAACCGTCCGTCGAGGTGCTCGAGCCTCGCAGGCAGCACGAACCGCAGCTGCCACGAGTGACGCTGCATCGGAAACTGCCATGGCACCCTATGGCTGAGCAGCGGGGGACCTACTCAGCACAGCATTCGCTTGGGCCTTAGTAAATGCTGCTGACATGATTCGGGATGACCAGCATGGAGCTTGAACTTTCCAAAGCTCTGGCAAACGGTGACTCTTTCGGGCTTCGTACCAAATCGGAGATGTCGAGGTTCTGCGGGTTGGATAAGAAACACACGTAGGCTGCAGTACCTCCCCGAGGCCACGATTGCTCTACCTTGTCGATAAACTCATAGATGCCTTCGGCCCAGCCATGCGTAAGAAATACATCACAGACCAAACCTTCGGGATGTTTCAGCAATGCCCAGCTGACGTTCCCTGCGGCTTCTGTCACCGGCTTGATGAATTGCTGAGTCACGGTGTACACTGAGGGCCCGCAACTGGTGTCCTCAGACACAACATGGTCAAGCGTGAGCAACTTACCTAGCATCACCCAGCATCGCGTAACAACAACGCACCAGGGGGATGTTCGCGCGTGCCCAAACAGTATAGAATGCTGAAACCTGTCCCTGCCGAGCAGGTCATAGTGTAGGCTACACACCAATGTTGCACGCAAGTTGTTAAGTTGTTTTTTTTGGCTTCGCTGTGCCTTCCACACGGCGCGCCGTTCAAAACAGCCACTTTGCATCATGCTTGATATCGCAACAGCGAGGGATCGCATCCACACGTCCGGCTCGTGCTGTACGATAGAGATGCAGAGCTTCAAGGATGGTTGGCAATCCAGGCTTCCACAACAAGCGACGAGCAGAAAGCAGCGAGGCATGCGAATTGCGCGGCGCCATTCTGCCTGAGGCATTCAGCCGACGTAGTTGGTTTTTCCAACAGCAGTTTGACTCTCGCACTGGTTGTCTCCGCAGTCTTTGCTGATAGGAGAGAAAGACGCAGCCAAAGCAGCCTTCTACACAACGCGAGCCTGTTTAGGCTGGAAAGAAGACATATCATCAGGCGGACATGGATGCTCTGGCCACTCGCACGCACTGGTCACACGGACGTTATCATTGGGCGGACATGGATGCTCTGGCCACTCGCATGCACTGGTCACACGGACGTTATCATCGCGCGGACATGGATGCTCTGCTGGCCACTCGCACGCACTGGTTACACGGGCGTCATTGTTAGGACATGGATGCTCTGGCCACTCGCACGCAATGGTCACACGGACGTTATCATCGGGCGGACATGGATGCTCTGCACGGACTGGTCACACGGGTGTTATCATCGTGCGGACATGGATGCTCTGGCCAGTCGCACGCACCGGTTACACGGACGTTAGCATCTTGCGGACTGGCAGGCACTGGTCACACGGACGTTATGATCGTGCGGACATGGATGCTCTGGCCACTCGCACGCACTGGCCGCACGGATGTTATCATCGCGCGGACATGGATGCTCTGGCCATTCGCACGCACTGGTCACACGGACGTTATCGTCGCGCGGACATGGATGCATTGGCCACTCGCATGCTCTGGTCACACGGACGTTATCATCGCGCGGACATGCCTGCGCTGGCCATGCGCACGCACGGGCAACACATTGACATGCTAAACACGGCATCCAGCAGTGTTTGCGTGAGTTGATCCAGACGAAACACCTCCTGCCGCGCCAAAACACTGCATTTTTGCAGCGCTTTTGGCACGCGACCCACACGAAACAGTGTAAAGACCGACGCAAAACCATGCAAGAAGCATCTGAAAAAAGGAGGTGTCCAAAACTCTGCGCCCCCCCGCCCCCCGTGTTTTCGGCATGCGACACGCACGAAACACTGAAAATACCGATGGAAACGAGAGGCGTGGGTTGCGCGCGATCATCCGACTGGAGGGAGCACACAGAGGCAACTGGAACTCATCAAGCTACAACCTGACTTTCTAGCTTCAAAAACGACTTGTTCCAGCAAGAGGCTGAGGGTAGAAATTGATCGCGGTCGTGGGGTTTGATGATTCCCTTCATGACAGCGTCGTGCACGAGTCGCTTAAACTGCCTCAAGTCTCCCAGTGTCAGGCCCCACTTTTCCTGATCCACAGTTCGGTGGCGGAGTGCGCCATCTTGCACTGGAGGATGTTCCACCAAGTGACGGTCGCCATCGGTGGGAGGTGCAATGCTGCGCGTGTAGCAGCGTTTCAGCACAAATGATGCCAGTATGCCCATGATTCCGAGCGTCAGAAGGGTTATGGCTAGTGGCTCCATGAACGCCCAGTCCCCAAATTGCTTCTCACTGTCCTCACCCAAGCAGCAATTGTAGGACAATCTGCCACCGTTGTCGACAAATTGGACCCCTGGGATGTGCACAAAGTAGCCAGGTGCACAAACAGCTCGTCTGCGAACAGTGCCGCCCTGGCAAGGATCTGACTCGATTGGTCCTGAGCGCTTGGGCAAGTCCACTTAAAGCGTGCATTGCCATGACTTCAGGCATGCAATATAGTTTAGGTGGACCCCCCGCCCTATAAGGGATAATAGGGATTATATGAAGGTCCTCTTATATTCCTATTCTACCACTATTACAGGGTGAGGGGTCCTTCTAAAACATAGTTGCTTGTTTGGTTCGAGACTGCCGTTCTGTCGCGTCGGTCATGATTTATGATGACAAATGCCCTGCAGCTAACAAATAGCAGCAGGCTCTGGACATCAGTAAGTGGTGTGTCGAATCAGGGAACGGTGTCAGAGACCAGGAGGCGATCGGAGACCAATCAGAGACCAGCCACGAACTTCGCAGACACGATTCAGAGACCAACTGGGTCGAACAGGCAGACCCCTGATCCACGACCCCACCCGACCGACCCAACCGCCCACCACCGACCCGCCCAACAAACCCCACAGGACTCGCCAACCCCAACCCGAGCCCCCAATCCACCAACCCGACCAACCGCCCACCCCAACGAGACCGACCCACCGACCCACCCCACCCGAGCAGCCCACCAACCGACACGACCCAACAAGACACGACCCTACCCGACCTGCCCAATCACAGTGACCCCGACGGATCCGACTACTCCGGGTGGGCCACGAGTCCGAAGCGGCCCGAGATCAGTCGGAAAACGCATCGCTCCGAGTCAGAGAAACCCCCCCTGAGTCGGAAATCCAGATGAGGCGTGTCCGAGAAACGACCGGAAATTTCGGCGACGTCGAGTAGAGAATTTGTCATTTGGATTGTACCGTGAATTTGTATCAATTCTCTACTTCTGGTTCTCCAAGAACGAATACAAGAAACAAAAACAAGAAACGAGGGGGGTGGAATTTAGACTTATTCTCTACTTGTCTACTATAATGAACACAAGAGACAAATCAAGGAACGAGGAGGGCTGGAATTTAGAATAATTCTCTACCGCTCTGATATTCGAAATGACTTTCTTGTTATTGGGATTGTATTGCAAATTTCTATCAATTCTCTACCTGTCTGAATTTTCGAAGAATGAATACAAGAAACAAAACAAGAAAGGAGGGGGGGGGGGGAGTTTAGACTAATTCTCTACTTCCCTACTCATTCTCTAATTTGCGAATAATGAACACAAGAGACAAAACAAGAAACGAGGGGAGGGGAATTTAGAATAGCTTTCTACTCCTCTGCTATTCGAATCATGAACATAACAAGCAAGAAACGAGGGTGGTGGAATTTAGAATAATTCCCTACCCACCAACCCCCCTGCTTTTTGAACACGTCAGAAAAGACTTTGTTGTCATTTGGATTGTGTTGTACATTTCTATCAATTCTCTACTTCGCTGATTTTCGAAGAGTGAATACAAGAAACAAAAGCAAGAAACGAGGGGGTGGACTTTAGACTAATTCTCTACTTCTCTAGTCCTTCTCTATTTTTCGAATAATGAACACAAGAGACAAAACAAGAACGAGGGGGGGTACAATTTAGCATAATTCTCGACCCCTCTGATATTCGACAAGCTAATTGGGGGGGGGGGGGGCTGCGCCCCCCCGCCCCCCCCAACCCCTCCGCTGTTTGATTACGTCAGAAATGACTTTGTTGTCATTTGGATTGTGTTGTAAATTTCTATCAATTCTCTACTTCTCTGACTTTCGAAGAACGAACACAAGAAACAAAAACAAGAAACGAGAAACAAAACAAGAAAGGAGGGGGGGTGGAATTTAGACTAATTCTCTACTTCCATTTGCGAAAAATGAACACAAGAGACAAAACAAGAAACGAGGGGAGTGGAATTTAGAATAACTCTCTACTCCTCTGCTATTCGAATCATGAACATAAAAAGCAAGAAACGAGGGTGGTGGAATTTAGAATAATTCCCTACCCACCAACCCCCCTGCTTTTTGATCACGTCAGAAAAGACTTTGTTGTCATTTGGATTGTGTTGTACATTTCTATCAATTCTCTACTTCTCTGATTTTCGAAGAGTGAATACAAGAAACAAAAGCAAGAAACGAGGGGGGTGGAACTTAGACTTATTCTCTACTTCTCTGCTCATTCTCTATTTTCGAATAATGAACACAAGAGACAAATCAAGGAACGAGGGCGGGTGGAAATTAGAATAATTCTCTACCGCTCTGATATTCGACACGGATTTTCCGACTCGCCCCTGTGCCCATTTCTGATTTTCGTCCTGGTCTTTTCCGACTCGAGTTCTCGACTCGAAGGGTCTGTTTCCGGCATCTGCCGCACTCTCTAACCCCCAAGCAGCCAAGCAACCCCACCAATACATTATGACCTCGTGGCAGAACGCTGCGCAGTCACATCGCCCCCGGACCCGACTCTGTAACGTAGTCGTTGTAGTCGTGTCGTCGTCGTCGTCGCAAGAGAAGTATCAGTAGCAATAGCAGTAGCAGTAGCAGTGCCCTCCTGGTTTGTGATTCGGGCCCCTTGGTCTTTGATTGGTAGTTTTTCAAAGTGGCGTAAGCGGCTTTCGCAGCCAAGCCACGTTGGTGAGTGGGGCAAAAGTGACGCTCTCCAGCAGATCCATCAGGGCAGCCCGGAAAAAAACCAGGCCTGTCGCTGGATTCCAGCTTGTGTTGGAGCTCGCTGGTTTCGGCGCTCAGCGGTTCAAAAGCAGGCGGTGTCCCTAGGCCTGGCACAGAAACCAGATGGAAGAGTTGGTCATCATCTGCAAGGTCCACTTTCCCAAGCTGCACTGGTACTACGGTTTGTTGGGTAAATGACGTGTACCCATCAATGTCGGAAAAGTTCATCCCTGGAAGGTCAAAACAATGCCCAGTGTGAGGGTTTATGATACGGCCGTCTTGCCAGACCCAGTCCATGAAGAGTCGACCCTCTTCACAGGCGTTGCCTCGCAAGGGCCTTGAATGATGAGCGTAGAAAGCTGGGTAGAAATTTGTGCACGCGGTATAAGCTCCGCTGCGCTTGCGCTGCCGGTTCACAAGCCAGGTCTGGTTCCAGTACCAAACTTGGCGGCTTGTGGCCAAATCATCATCACAATCCACCAAGGCCAGGAACCATGACATCCTCAACGTGACGCACTTTTGCAACTTCGCAGAGCGAATGGTGAAAGGTTCCAGCGGGCCCACGCTCGCGGAAGCTAACACGAGCATCGAACACCCCCAAGCCAGCAGGGAAGCCATCGCCCGGACAACGGTGCAAAAGGCTTCCTGCCTAGGGGATAGGATTAGGGGGACGCTTGGGGATATAGACCCTCTGAATAAGGTCCCTGTTTAAGAGAGCCAGAAGAAGGTTGAGAAGGGGTTCCCTTTTGCGGGTCCTCCTTATCCTAGCTAGGACTGCCGCAGTTCAACCTCAAAGCCAAAACAGCAACGCCTTTGTGCTTCTTATGGCGCCCGGGAATGTGGCCGGAATTTGCACCATTGGACTAAGCTTTGCCTGCATGCATGCATGCATGAATGACTGAATGAATGAACGAATGAATGAACGAGTATCCAAATGCGGCATCGTGGATCGCAGCAGAATGATCAGCACGCATGGCGCGCATACACAGGAAGCTTGCCACACAAATCCGTGCTACTGGACGACATGACAGGGCCTGTCGCGGAGCTCGAAATGACACTTAGTCTACATTCGGAACCCGCTCAGGACCAGAGGCGAGCCACAAATGCAGGGTTTGTGTGGCTCAAGGCTTTTGGGAGGCATGAGCTCCGTAGGTCTGAGGCGAAGAGGTCCTAAGACCTTTTGTCGCTTTCGGTCTCTTGTCACCAGGTCGTGGCTCACAAGTCCCTTTCCGCCCTAAACTGCAGGTGCCTCCACCTGAGCAGAATCCACCAGGCCAAACAGCAAACACGCTGTAAATACCGATGCTTCCGGCTGCACGCAAAAAGGATGCACCCGTCCCCCCCCCCCCATGCCTGGGGAAGTGCCAAAGTCGACAACCCTTCCACGGCGGCGAGAACACTTTTTGAGCACGGACTGGGAAACTGCCGGCAAGCAGGGCGGCGAGAACCCTTTTTTTTTGCAGCTGGGACTCTTTGATGCCAGGCACCCTAACACCTAAACCCTAAACCCTGAACCCCTAAACCCTACCTTAAAACTGACCTTGTGCCGCAACAGCCTTGGCAGCGTGCCAGCATCTGCAAGCCAGTCAGTTGAGGGCTGGAGCCGTGCGGGAATAGTTGGGCTAGGGACTACCAGTGTTTCCTCAGAGCCAGGAACGCCAGGCCTGATCCGGCTCTTGCTTCTACATGTTGCTGTCGCTGCCTATCTATCAAACGTAAAGCAGGTAGAAAGCCAAAGATATCATTCAAAGAAGCCCCTGCGCAGCCCACCTTTTCCACATCTGCACCGACCTGTGCGTGGGTGTCCTGGGCAGCTGTCCGAGGTCCAAGGATTGGAATGCGCGGTGGCTGCCTGATGGCTGTCTGGTGTCTGTTGCTCAACGACAGGCAAACCCTGACTCTACCAGAGTGGTAGTAGAGGTCATATTATGTCCAAGCAACATGAGCCACCTTCTCCAAGCCCGGAACCCTTCCCCAAAAAAAAACACAAAACCGCTCTCCGAGCAGGCAGACGAAACGTCTTGCGTCTGAGTGCAAGGGTTGCAGCTTTGCTTCGCAAAATGCCACAACCGTCACACATACAAACGCCTGTGAGCAATGCATGCTGCATTGTATGCCACAGACGCTCGTGGTGCAAAGTGTGACTTCGGTCAAAATCGCTTCGCACAAGAGCTCGGAACTTCCAAAATCATTGGTGCAGCCACCGGCTGCACTGGGATTCAGCTATGAAGGCTTTTGTTGTCAGCTCTCACGCCGGTAGTACGTTCGCTGCACGCTTACCACAGCACATGCTCCATGAGCCATGTTGCATCCTGTTGTATACTAAGATGACTCCAAGGCTTACCAGGCAAGCTCCGACGATGGAGGCCCCGACGACGATTGCAATTTCCCACCCTTCCAGTGGAACTGCGCCACACACACAAGGACCGGAGTCGTTGACGATTTCAACGGCCATCATCCCCACGTCCTCGTGGTCCAACCGATGGCAATGGAGCATGACCTGGCGCACAGTCCCAAACAATCACCAGAGAACAAATGCCGGTGCGACAAGTAAGGGAAGGCCTGTGCTGGAAGCATCAAAAGGTATGTTGCACTATGTTGCACTACAGTCACAAAGGAGGCTCTTCAAGGGTTTGCACCTCTCACATCCAAGCAACCTTTCCGGTAAAACGCATGGCTTTGTACCTGAGAACGCCAGCCCCCTCGATGGTGTCGTGCCAGTCACCGGCCAGAAAGTAGTTGGCATCAATGTTGCCACTGCCGCGTCTGTCATTGTCGCCTGCGCCAAAGCCCGAGATGATCTGGAATGGGTAGACATGCTGGTGGTAAGGATGCTCTCTGGCGCTGATCTCGCGCTCAACCACTGCACCCAGATAGCTCTGATGCAGAATGTCCTCCTTCTCAAAACGGCGGCCATTCACATCACGGCGATCCAACTTCGTGACACAGGAGCAACCCAAGGATGCCTCCGTGTTTAGAAGACTTTCAAGATATGCTGGGTATGTTGGGCTCCACGGCTCAAGATCAACCGAAGGCTTCTGTTCGGCTCCAGTGGTCACCGTTGCAAGGAGGTCGCCTGCCCATGTGACCTGGTACTCTGAGCTTACACTGGGACAGCGCACCATGAGGTCAGCTCTGCCCCCAACGGCTATGGATGCAGAGCCAAGCAACATTCGAGGAAAGTCTCGAATGTACACACCGTCCTTTGCAAGGAGCGCCATCTCACATCCAATGATCTGGAACGACAACTCCTCGGCCAGCCACCCAGCGTATACTACTCTGAAGCGCGTCCACTCGCCTGCAGCCACAGGAATACTCGGCTTGATCTCGCCGTTCACCAATGTTGTTATGGTGCCACCCGCCACCCCAAACCAGGAGTCCCGCGACCTTGATGCAATTCTCTCAAGTTCTTGCAAGTCCATCTGCATGACCTGCAACATGGTTGGGGTACCATTTAAAAACAATCATTTTTGCTAGTTGTCGGGTTTAAGTTTAAGTATATCAAGTATTCATAAACATGATTTTCAACCATGACCCAGTTACCATCAGGATCACTTCAGGCGCTCCCTCCACCTCAGATGGCAAAGTTCCTGGAGGGTCCTCCACAATCAGCGCCGACGCCGCGCCCCCGCCGACCTGCAGTGCAGTGGAGCCATGCCGATGAGGGTGCAGCCAGTGCGTTCCAGGCATGTGATCCTTAGTTGCTAAGCCCCCCCGAAAGTGTAGACTTTCAGTTTTATAGGGGAATATAGGGGATTTCAGCATCCCCAGAAAGTGTAAAAAAGTGTACTCATTCAGCGCCTAAGGATCCGAAGATATGGATGTCACGTACACTCTGTCTTCGCCTGGCAGAACTGTCACGGTGGCATCGTCTGAAGGAAGCTCTCCACTCACATAAAGCCCATGAAAGTGCACGTTAGACTCGTCGGCAGCTGAGAACCTTAGTTGTCCAGTACCTGGGGGGGACTAAAGGTTAACCTTTGGGAATAATAAGGGGACTATACCACCCCAACAAGGTTAAAGGTTACCAACTCTACAACTAAGGAACTCATTGTGTACGTATGAGCTTCCCTGGTCCGGCAGCAAGTTCTTGAAGTGCACCCGAAGGTCATCACCCGGTCGCACCCGGATCGTTGGCCCCGGCACTGTCCCATTGTAGGCCCTCGTCTTCATCGTGATGCCTGACAGTGCTCTAGGCTCTAGGGGTTTAGGGTCTTAGGGTTTAGTGTTTAGGGGACTGCAATCACAACTTCTCTTGCGTTGTGAAACTTGGAAGGGTATGTGCTTGACATTCGTCCCTGCCTGAGGATGTGGTGACCGTTGCACGATCCAACGTTAGGACGATGTCCAGCATGCCATTCTCGGAGCTCACCACTGGCGGCACTGGCAGCAGGACGGCAAGGGCAACGGGCACTCCACAAGCAACGAGAGCGAGGAAGAATGCCATTGAGAACAGCTTGGGACCCTTGGCCGTGTGGGGCATATCTGGTGCTGCGGCTCACAGGGCCAGCTCGGACTTCGCAAAAGACAGTCTTAGACACTCTCCTACTGCCGTGCCCATGTTTAATAAGAGCAGTCGACCAGAGCTTCTTTGCGCTCTGAGGCAAGCGAGCTCCGGCACTTTATGGGTGAAGAGCCCCTCAAGCCCAAGCCCTCACCCGAATAAACCCTAAACCCCTGGAGCCTATAAACCCTAAGCCCTAGATCCCCCAATAGACCCTAAACCCTCTTTTTGAACGAGGTCTCTAACCCTAAACCCTAAGCACTAAACCCTAAATGGTGGCTACTCCTCAGTCGGGAAGGGCGGTCGCTGCACGGCTGCTGTCCTCGCTTCTTGGAGTTTATAGGGTCTTTATGGTGATTTAGGGTTTAGGGTTTAGGGTTAGGGGGTTAAGATGGCCCATAGGGTTCAGGGATCCCGAGTTTAGGCTTGGCACCGTTGCCCATGGCAACTAATCGAACAAGAACCCAACCTCACAAATCCCATTGGCCACACTTCTGAATCCCCTTCTCTCGCCAAGATAGCTATGATGTGACCCTAAACCCTAAACCCTAAACCCAAAACCCAAAACCCTAACCCTAAACCCTAAACCCTAACCAGCTCTTGAGGCCACCACCCTCCATAGTTCGAATCTCCAGTGCAACGCCCAAGCTTTCCCAACTGCATCTGCGAAGTAGCATGTGCTCACACCTCCAGCCGTGCAGTTGAACCTACTCGACCACAACCCTAAACCCTAACCCCCGAGCCCTAAACCCTGAACCCCTAACCCTAAACCCTAAACCCGAAACCCTAAACCCTGAACCCTGAACCCTGAACCCTAAACCCTAAACCCTAAACACAACGGGGGCTCCAGTGTGGGTTCTTCAGCAGCGCAGGCAGGGCAGCTGCACTGGGGCCCAACCTCGGGTTCTCGGCTCGAGGATCCGAGGTCTGCGACTGCAGGAGGGGTGGTGTCGGGTTTAGGGTTTAGGGTTTAGGGTTTAGGGTTTAGGGTTTAGGGTTTAGGGTTTAGGGTTTAGGGTCTAGGGTCTAGGGTCTAGGGTTTAGGGCTGGGGTTTAGGGGTTTAGGGGTTTGGGGGTTTGGGGGTTTATGGTGTAGTTTTTTTGGTTTAGGGTGCTTAGGCGAAGGCGGCGTTGGGGCTACGGGTTTCAGATGTGGGAGGGGGACGTTTAAGGGGACATTTCCCTCTACCCCTCTGCCGCTACCCAATCGGGTTTAGTACAACCCTAAGCCTAAACCTCTTTTGGCTACTGGACTAAAGTCTAGCCTGAACCTCTACACCCCAAACCCCTAAACCTTAAAACCCTTTTTGCGACGGGCTTCTGGGTCCGCCCTGCTTGAGGGAGCAACCTTCAGCCCTCCCTCCCGAAACCCTGAGCAACCACCCTCAACCACAGCAGGCTTGAAGCGTCAAAAAGCCCGCAAAGACCTCAACGTCAGGCCAGGGCACAGTTTCTGAAGCTCCGTTGGGATGCTGCTCGACACCTTAAGTCCTAAACCCTGAACCTTGAACCCTGAACCCTAAACCCTAAACCCTAAACCCTAACCCTAAACCCTGAACCCTAAACCCTAAACCCTAAACTTCATTGGTCCTAGGACTCGGATTCTTGTAGCGACCGCAGGTCGACGCACTGACGTCTTAGGCGCGGTGGAGGTGCGTTGCGAACACATTTGGGGTTCAGGGTTTAGGGTTTAGGGTTTAGGGCTTCCCTTGCTATCCCCGGTCTCTTGCAGACCTCATCGCTGACTCTCTTCGCATATTTCTTCGCAACAGAGAACACAAACCTTGTCGCTTCATTATTCCCATTCGTAAGCCAAAGCCCGGTGCAAGCCCGGTAACAATGGGGATGTGGCAATCTTCTTTCAGCTGAGAGTCGTGGATTTTGGATGCCGTCCGGGGTGAGATCCAACCCTGCGGGGGACGTCAGTAGAGACAGCTACGTGGGCGTTGAACCCCTAAACCCTAAACCCTAAACCCTAAACCGTTGACTGAGTCCCTCACATTCCGCACACGTAACAACGGACAAAGTCTGCTCCCTCTGTGCCACAGGCTCGAGGCTGCACGCAACACAAGAAGCCCCAGGCATCATATAGGGGCATTAATAAGAATTAGAATAAGCCTCCTTTTTTTCTTTTGGGGGGGGGGGGGGGGTATTAGAGTATACTTAAAAAGGGGACCCTAAGGGATGCTATTAGTTATTATTCCGACCCCTAAACCCTAAACCCTATGGCGGTACCTTGATGAAATTCCAGGCCATGGAGAAGGCGGACGAGGAGCGGATGACGAAGATGTGAGAGACCTCGCAAGCCGCAAGACTTCCTCTTGGTTAGAAGGGAATGAGGTACATCCCCCCTAAATATACCCTTTAAGGGACTATATAGGGTACCTCATTCCCTCATGCCCTCATTCTAACCAACAGTAAGAAGAGGAGGCATGATGCACGGAAAGACAGACAGCTTTTTCGACTCTGTCTTTAAGACTCACCCAAAGAAGCTCTCTCTATACGCCCCTATTCAGTAAGACATAGTTATATCTTAAACCACATTAAGGATCTCTATATGATTCAGGCATATTCCTTAATCGAGGGGTGTTGGGCTTTCTGGGCAAACACTGTCCCTCATTGTCCTCTCATACCTACCGCAGTCTCCTCACTGTTGGTTAGTAGGGTATGAGGGAATGAGGTACCCTCTGCAATCCCTTAAAGGGTATATGAAGGGTATATATGGGGGGATGTAGGGCACCTCATTCCCTCATTCCCTACTAACCAACAGTAAGTCTACTGGCACCAGCCTGCTCCATGTAGTGCCTGAGCTGCAGGGCACCACAGACAATCCGCACGAAGTTCGGAACCTAAACCCTTTTACATCCAGGCCTCTGAAGTCTGCCGGGTAAGTATGCTGACACACAGGCGCGAAGCACAAACCCAGCACTCGTGGCTAGGGAACTACTCGCTAAACCCTAAAGCCCTAAACCCTAAACTCGAAAACTTTAGGCTGAACTCGGCTGAGCGTTGCACATCGTAAAAATATCTAAGTCAACCCTTCGATAGCTGACACCAACTGACTACTCGACCTTCAGGTAGCGGCAGCGAAGGGAAACCGCCAGCTCGCCATGCAGCATTTGGGTATCCCATAGTATAAATACATAAATTTCTGTACACAAATAATATGTGTATATATATATGTATATATATATATATGTGTGTGTGTGTATATGTACACACATACATACACATGTATATACGTACTTCAGAAAAAAACTGATTACGTCTACATCTCCTGGTCCAGTGGCTGCCCTGCACCCAGAAGAATCTTGAGCTTCTCAACCAATGCCCCGCTGGAGACTTGCCTTAGTCGAGGGTTCTTAAGGGAGGGTACGTAACCCTCCCTGAGGCTCCGTAAGCTTCCCTAAGGTCCCTTTTTCAAACAGACCTTAGCATTGTTTTTGGGCATATTTAGGGGTTATTGAGGGGTAAGCAGGGGGTAATCTAGGGGTTGTTTAGGGGCTTCTTAGACATGTAGGGACTATAGCTGGCATTGGGATTCTTTGCCGTTTGGTTGTTGGCTTCGTGCACTTCTCGCATCGTCTGGCGCATTCCGTCCCTCACCGGCCAAGAAGTCGCGTTGTTGGGGTTTAGGGTTTAGTTTTTTTTTCTCACCCACTTAGCTGACCTCTCGGACACTCTGCAGGGAACTGGCGGTACAATACTGGGGGAGCAAGTCTCCAGAACCGACCAGGGTTTAGGGTTTAGGGTTTAGGGTGAGGCATTTGTGGCTTGGAGGTTCAAGTTCGGCTAAGCCGAGCGCGAAGTATGCAGGAAACTCGATGCCTGAAAGGGAAACACCGTAAACCCTAAACCCTTTATAACCCAGGACTGCCCTATTCTTTTGCAGCAGGTCTCCAAACCACTGTCTGCCCTAACCCCCGAAACCCCAAAAAGCTCTTGATGCAAGGCCCAGTGGCCAAAGGCTCAAGCCCTGCAGGTCATAGATCTGCACGTGCCCTGCCAGCCTGCCTGTGGACGATGTCTGAGCAGAAAGCCAGATGTCCACGTACTCCGCCATGAAGACACCGAACCTCACCAGTAGTTGGTAGCTGTTTGAACTCGGTGGGTGGGGTTTCAAGTGATGGTGGCTTGGCAAACGTTGCATTGGTCAGCTTCCATGGCACTTACTTGCGGATGTCAGGAGGGGGTGATTGAAGTCGGCGGATATATCTGGCAGCCAGATTTGATCATTCCTCCTGACATTTGTAAAAACCTTAATAGGGGGCACGATAATCCCCAAGGACTCTTAGTATAAGGGGGCACATCCCAAGTTTCGACTCGCATTCTGGCAGAGTCTCGGTTCGCCAGGACTGGTTAGCACTAATTCCGGCCTGTTTTGGGCAGCTCCTCTCACCACTCGCAGTGGTTTGGGGTTTAGGGTTTCTCTCTCTCTCTCTCTCTCTCTCTCTCTCTGCCGCGCCATCCCCGAGGGTCTTGCTACGCAAAGGCACGAGAAGCAGGGTTTAGGGCTTAGGGTTTAGGGTTTTCTGGGAAACCTCTCGATTTAGCTTAAGGTTTTGTTGCCACCCGCCATGCCGAGCGGGTCTAGGGTTCTGTGGGATACCGTGGGCAATGCAAACCATCTTCGTCAGCCCCTAAACCCTACTCCCCAAACCGACGGAGGACCATCAGCAGGCCGAACTCTAAGCTCAAAAGTCCTAGAATCCCAAACCCTTCAGAAGCTAGTGAAGCCATTTCAAGAACTCGTTTCCCCTGTCCACTTCCTTCCCCACACCCTAAACCCTACACCCTAAACCCTACACCCTAAAGCCTAAAGCCTAAAGCCTAAAGCCGAAACCCTAAACCCTAAACCCTAACCCTAAACCCTAAACCCTAAACCCTAAACCCTAAACCCTAAACCCTAAACCCTACTCTTGGACCTCCCACCCCTCCTGCCTGCGAAGTTGCTCCTCCTCCGCCTTCGCAGCAGCCGAGGCATGGGCGGTGCCCACGTAGTAGATGCTGACCTCAGGAAGGGTTTATATAGGGTTTCAGGGCTTTAGGGTTTTAGGGTTTGGGGCTGTAGGGCTTTAGGGCTTTAGGGTTTAGCCGGGCTTTATGGGCATGAACCTATATGGTCACTTCTCAAAAAGATGGTCCCTTTTGGGGTCCTTAATATATAAGGCAGCAGCTCTTATTTAGGGTACCCAAAAAGGGACACCCTAATTTGGGAGAACTGACCAAATATGGCTTTAGGTCTTCTCTAGGATCATAAGTTCTCAAACTGCAGGAGATTGTTGGCCGAGTTGCTGGGTTCATAAGCCCCAAAACGTGTACACTTTCAGTTCTATAGGGGATTATAGTATCCCAAAAAGTGTAAAGTGCACTCATTCAGCTACTAAGTTGAGCTGACCTCGGAAACTGTACTTAAGGTTGAAGACTTGCTTCGACCTGTCTAGCTCGTTCCCGCTCAAACTCCAGAAAACAAGCCTAAACTGCTTGAGAAGCACCAATGGCCAAGATAAGGCCGCCCTTTTTTGAACCCGTGCTGAGGCCGAGGCGTGGAAAGGGAAAGTGTCTGCACTGACGCTCTCCGAGCGGCCGTGTGCAAGCAACGAAAATTCCAAACCTAAGGCAGCCCTAGACCCTAAAAGCTTCTGCCCCTAAACCCTAATCTGGGGACGAGCCCCGCCATCGCCAAAACCTTGGGTTCCTGTGCGAAATGCTGTTAGGGTTTAGGGTTTAGGGTTTAGGGTTTAGGGTTTAGGGTTTAGGGTTTAGGGTTTAGGGTTTAGGGTAACCCCACATCCCCCAAAAACCCTTCTCTACCACACGTCTGAATGTCGGCTGGGCGCTGGAGAGCCCTCCACGCTCGTGAGCACGCAGGGGTTGATGGTCACAAGCTTGGCGACCTCATACACCCTACAGGGTTTAGGGTTTAGGGTTTAGGAATTCTAGGGCCTAAATTAAATCAACACTTCCCCAAAAATCGACCAGATGATAAAACCGACAAGAAGCCCAAAGCAATCCTAAACCCTGAACCCTGGAAGCTTTTGTTGAGGGCATTGCAAAACCGCAGCGGTCTGGGCATCTTTCTTGGTAGGTGCAGTGGGACGTGTTAAGTGAGCACCTGTCCGCGCTCCACGTGGGCATGTTTAGTGTCTCGCTGTGAATGTAAACTGGCTGGATCACTTTAGTCGTGTGGTTAGGGTGCTGACACGCACATGACACATGCTGAAAGGCAGCATGCTTGCGGCAGTGCTTGTATCTTTTGGATAGAGGCAATGGGACGTGCCCAGCAGCACTTGTTGGCCCTCAGCATGAGGATCTTGCTAGCCCAGTAACCATATTGTAATAAAGGGCACCGTGTTTGTACTTGGTTACTCAAAAAGGGAACCTTGAAGCAAAAAAGGGAAAGGGTACTACTGGGCTGCCAAGGAATGTTGGCATGTTGGTCGTAGATGTTGATGGAACTCAAATCACCAGACCCTAAACCCTAAACCCTAACCCTAAACCCTAAACCCTAAACCCTAAACCCTAAACCCTAAACCCTAAACCCTACGAGGCCTCCTTGTGGAAGGGAGCTGTGACGGCGGCCTCCCCAGGCAAAGCCGCAGAAAGGCTCTGGCGCAACTGGTCCAGACCTTGTGGCAGTATTGGGTTCAGAGCTTCAGCTGCATTGCTTGCTACTTACCCTGCACGGTCTAGGTTTAGGGTTTAGGGTTTAGGGTTTAGGGTTTAGGGTTTAGGGTTTAGGGTTTAGGGTTTAGGGTTTAGGGTTTAGGGTTTAGGGTTTAGGGTTTAGGGTTTAGGGACCGTTAGCTTGCATTGTGAGTCTGCATTCGTGACGGCGGAGGTCTGCTGGCTTCCTGCGCCTGAGTATCTCTCGCTGCCCGGGCCCACTGAACACGTGTACGTTGGAACGGAAGGACAACGGCGGGAAAAATCCGATGGCAGAGTCTATCCCTCGGGGTCTGTACTGCTACGCCACCAATGTCAGCCTAGTCTCGGCCTTTCCCTGCCTCACGACTTCCGAAGACGCGCCAACGTCGGCTCATGATTGTGCTGCTACATGCACGGCTGCAACCCGAAACCCTAAGAAGCCCTGCTAGCTTCTTGAACTCTGCTTCACTGGCCCGAGCCCTGAACAAGGTGCCGCTTACGGAACAAGCTGTCTCCAATCCAGCCATGTGGCATTGGTGACTCGTATGCGTGAGAAACTTGTAGCTGCTTAATGCCCTAAACCCTAAACCCTAAACCCCAGACCCCAAACCCAGGTTAATTTTTTGGGGGGACGGGTGTGGAAGTCTCGTGCAAAGGCGCCGTACTGCTTGCGCCACTCGAGGATGCCATCGAAACGCCGCTTTGCTTCCTTCAGGGACTGCGGAGGGCGGCCCTAAACCCTAAACCCTAAACTCTAAACCCTAAACCCTGAACCCTAAAAGCAAGGGTGCTTTTAGGGTTCAGGGTAGGGTTTAGAATTTAGGGTTCAGGATTTAGTTTCAAATTTCCGGGCTTCGGAATTAGGGTTGTTCGGGTTTGCGGTGTCTCATGCAGGGGGGCCCGCTGGTGCTGAAAGCACCCAGGCACAGGCCCCCCGGTTTAGGGTTTAGGGTTTAGGGTTTAGGGTTTAGGGTTTAGGGTTTCCCCACCCAAGCTAGCGCTCCATTCTCGTCTGCCCTTTGCGCGTTTATGATTCCCTTGCTTTCTGTCGTGGTCATGTCCTCCATTCAGTTTTGAATTCGGGGAGTGATCGTGAAGCATGCTAGGGCATTGCACAGAACACCTGAGTGCAAATCTTTGCAAGGCTTAGTTTTAACAATGGGTCTGGCTCGAATCAGGCTTTGACATGCGGAGAGAGTCTTTTGGAAAGCCAAACCCTGCACACGGGGAAGGCCATATCGAAGGAAGGCTCCAGGTTTTTTCCGGTTTGGCTTGGGTTGCTCAAGTTCCAGAGGCTTTTCTACTATTTGCTTAAGAACCCCCAACAAACGAAAAAAACAATCATCCCTATATTACCCTTTCAAGGAAGAATCTTCTTCTTACTTTTTTGGTGGCTCTTAAAGCAATTGGTAGTTTATGCAAGCAGAGAGGTCTGGAGAAGCGGGCTTTCGACGAAAGCCCTGTCCTCCATGTCCAGGTTGCAGCCCAGGTACAAGCGCAGGGCAGCTTGTTCCTGCCCTAAACCCTAAACCCTAAACCCCAAACTCCAAACCCTAAACCCCAAACTCCAAACCCCAAACCCTAAACCCAAAAACGCCCTAAACAGCTCCCACAAGCCGCTAAGTGGTGAGGACTCAGGCCCCATGGCTTGTAAGGTTACTAGCACAGGCACCAAGGGTCTGTCATCTGTATGTGGGTGTGCTTAACTTCGGTAGGGTTTAGGGTTTAGGGCTTAGGGCCTTAGGGTTTGGGGTTCAGGGTTTAGGGAGGGTTTGCTGCAAAGTTGCGGAGATCTTGTAGTGGGTCTCCAGGTGTGCCTTGAGTGCCGCAACCGTTCACTGCCATGCTACAAGCCAATTTAGGCAGGGTTTGGGGGGGGGCAGGGGAGGGGGGGGAGGGGGGAGGAGGGGAGGGAGGGGGGCAGGGAGGGGAAGGGGGAGGAAGGGGGGGAGGGGTGCATGATCCAGTTTACAAGGTTTATCAGAACAAACAGCGGCTGCATCTGGCCATGTCCCGGCGAGCTAAGCCAAAGCCAACACCAACAGCAGCTTTCTCTTAGGGGCTGAATACCCTACCCCAGCAAAGACTAACCTTGGATGTTTCGTAGGATTCTATGTAACCAAACAGGTTAACGGCTAGCTACCCGGCCCCCAAATTTTTTCTGCGCCATGCTGCAATTGCCTGATCCACGGCAGCACCAGGAGCTTTCTTGTCGGGAAGCTGGCTCAAACGGACCTGACAACAAGTTCCCAACCCCAAACCCTAAACCTTTAAACCTTCAAACCCTAAACCCTGCTGGACAAGCGACCAGGAGTCTAAGGCGCAGTCGCCGACAGATTCTTTCCACTTGGCTTTTTGGGCCCTCCACACGAAGTCCCAAACCCAAATCCTATGCTGCACACGGAGCCCAATACACCTTAATTAAGGAATATACCTTAAATCATATAAAGGGCCCCTATACTACTTAAGGTGTATTCCTTATTTCGGGGGTATTGGGCTCTTTCGGCAGCCCCAGCAAATATCTAGCAATATTCAATGTACGGGCTTTTGTAAGGGGAGGACATTCCACCCCAAAACTATGCACAAAGCCCCATCCTCTCCCCCGTCCCCCTCAAGAAAACAAACATAAAGCCTAGAAAAGCCCTAGAGCCTACGAGCCCGAGAAGCCCTATGCACCAAAACTTGTCAGCCCTGTAGGCCCTGCCAGCCCTACAAACACCAAAAAGCCCTACAGAAGCCCCATGAACAGCTTTGCAGGCCTAGAACTGACACCCTAAATCCCTCAATCAAACCCTGCGCCCTAAACCCTAAACCCTTTTTTCAAGCTGGACTTGCTGACTGCCATAAACCCTAAACCCTAAACCCTAAACCCTAAACCCTAAACCCTAAACCCTAAACCCCCTACACCCTGAACCCTAAACCCTAAACCCTGCCAGGATGGTGACGCTTCCTGACCTCCAGGCTTCCCACGCGGGCATAGCCAGCGCTGGGCGGCTGCAGGCTCCTGGCGGAACCTTGGGTTTAGGGTTTAGGGTTTGGGGTTTGGGGTTTAGGGTTTGGGGTTTAGGGTTTGGGGTTTAGGGTTTGGGGTTTGGGGTTTGGGGTTTAGGGTTTGGGGTTTGGGGTTTAGGGTTTAGGGTTTAGGGTTTGGGGTTTGGGGTTTGGGGTTTGGGGTTTGGGGTTTGGGGTTTGGGGTTTAGGGTTTAGGGTTTGGGGTTTAGGGTTTAGGGTTTGGGGTTTAGGGTTTGGGGTTTAGGGCTTAGGGTTTGGGGTTTGGGGTTTAGGGTTGGGGGTTCAGGGTTTGGGGTTTAGGCTTTGGGGTTTAGGGTGTAGGGTTTAGGTTTCAGGTTTGGTCTTCAAATTCCTTCGGTCCCTTTGGCAAAATATGAGCATGGAGCAAATTAGGAACAGCTTGGGATATCCCTTGAAGGCCAACCTAGTTGGGGATACATGCGCAAGTACTTTGGGTGGAGGGTTTAGGGTTTCGGCGTTCGGGGGTTTAGGGTTTCGTGTTTAGGGTTCATTACCATTCTTTGCTGGACCTAGACTGTCTCCTTTTTAGTTGACGCTCCCTACAGAACTGTGTAGACCTAAACCCGAAACCCTAAACCCTAAACCCTAAACTCTAAATCCTAAACCCTAAACCCTAAACCCTAAACCCTAAACCGTAAACCGAAGCCTTTCAACGCTGAGCCCGAAGTGAAGCCGCTCCGAGGAGCTCTCTCGTTGCGGCGACCGAGCTTCTGCAGGGGATGGTGATTACTTGGTCATAAGTAGGGTTTAGGGTTTAGGGTTTAGGGTTTAGGGTTTAGGGTTTAGGGTTGAGGGTTGAGGGTTTAGGGTTTAGGGTTTAGGGTTTCGGGTTCTAAGTATGGCAACTTTTAACCCTTTCTTTTTGCTACTGACGAACCTCCAAGAGGCTTTTGAGCCCCGCCCGTGAATTCGGTGAGATGCGGCCGTCGCGTTTGGGGTTTAGGACCATGAGGCCCAAGCGCTGGGTTTGGGGTTTAGGGTTTAGGGTTTTCAGAAACAATTACGATTGCTTGGAATGTTGGGCATTTCGCACGTCATGGCGTGCTGAAGATACATGAAGCCCGCCAGGCCCCTTCTTTTGCAACAGGCTTTCCTAGACCCATGAGTAACCTAGGAATCCAAAGGACGCCCCTTTTTTTGGTTAAAGGGGCTTATAAGTTAAGGGCCTACTCTGTTGGTTTACAGGGGCATTAAGGGAACCTCAAGCCTAAACAAAGGGAATAAGGAAGGGTCAACCAAGGAAACCGAAAACCTTGCCCCCTGGGAAAATGTTCCTCAACATGACCCTCTTAAACCAAATAAGGGAAATTAACAAAAAAAACAAACATGATTAAACAATATTCAAGGGCCCTTTCACATGCTTTTGACATTTCCGGGTTTAGGATGTTTAGGGTTTACGGTTTTAGGGTTCAAGGCTACTCGATCACCTGCGGAGCCCTGTGCCCTGCACTGTACGCCCAGGCGGGTCCTTCGGTGTTGACGAAGTCAGCATCCTCCTGGGCCCCCCGAAGCCCCGAACCCTAAACCCTAAACCGAAAGGGTTTAGGGTTTAGGGTTTAGGGTTTGGGGACCAAGACACCCCAAAGTCCCCCCCCCCCCCCCCCCCCACACTCCAAGCCTAGTGAAGGTCTCATGTCACCAAAAGCTTGGCTGACTTCTGAACCCCTCTAAAAGTTTAACTTTTAGGCTCCTGATTGTAGTTTCCACAAAAACCCAAAAGGTAAAAGTCCTAAGAGCCAGCCAGAAGAAAGCCAAGAAAACAGACAGAAGATTTAATTTGAGAGCTTAAGTTGCGCCCAAATCGAAGAGTGTCCTTGTCTCCACGGCCAACGCACTCCATCCAGAAAGCGCAGAAAGGCTTTCTCAAGGTAAACCGCATTTAAGGGGGTATTGGGCTCTTTCCGAACCTCGAACCCTAGAATCCTAGAGAGGGCCTGAGGCCAGCCCCGTAACTCGGATCCCTATAAGGCTGCAAACCCTAAACCCTAAACCCTAAACCCTGCAGCTTGTATAGAGGTCCACAACACGAACTCTCTAAGACACAAAACCCTTGTGAACTCACGACAAGTGTTCCTTAATTAAGGAATATGCCTTAGCTTATGTAGGGATCCTAAATATGGTTTTAAGGTATATTCTTTATGTAAAATATGTAGGGATCCTGAATATGGTTTTTGGTTCATTCCTGACTTTAAGGGGTGTTGAGGGGGCTATTTGGGTGCAGACAGCCCAGAGATCCTGATCGTTGACCAGCGCCCGCGCATGCGGACTCAGGTACGGGTCACCTGCCTCAGCGCAACTTGGCGTGACAAACGGTTTAGGGCTTAGGGTTTCAGGGGTTTAGGCTGTTTAGGGGTTCAGGGTTAAGGGGTTTATATGGGGTTGAGGGCTTTAGCGGTTTAGGCGGTTTAGGGTTTTTTGTTACCGTCTTTGAACGGCAACTCCTGTGCAGAGAGCCCCCATATTCCCTAAATTAGGGAATATTCCTTAAATCATATTCAGGATCCCTTAATTGAATGTCAGGAAGGGATAATCCTACATTATCATTCCTTCTTTCAGGGGTATTGAGCTCTTTGGGCTTGTGTACATACTCAAACTGGCCCACTCCAGCAACCCCCCCTCCCCCCCCCGCCCCAGACTCTAATCGACAAGCCGTCACTGGTTTATTTGCCGCGCTACGAGTCGAGAAGTATGGCACCCCAAACCCTAAACCCTAAACCCTAAACCCTAAACCCTAAACCCTAAACCCTAACCCTAAACCCCAAAACAAAGAAAACAGCGCCAATGATCTTACTTTTCCTGCCAAGGCTCCGCCTGCTGTGGCTTGAGTCGTCCAGCGCTTTGACTCTGAGACTGAGACCTCTGGGCCGGAGGCTCATTCATGGCATCCCCTTTTTTGGGGCTTAGGGTTTGAGAATTTAGGGTTTAGGGTTTGGGGTTTAGGGTTTAGGGTTTGAGAATTTAGGGTTAGGGTTTTGGGTTTAATTAAGATATCCACGAACTTCGAAGGATGAAGACGAGCTTCCAAGGTATGGTAATTGGGCACAAGTGTACAGGGAAGCGTCAGGAGAGACGGCATTTGAGAGAACTGCGGCTGTATAGTATACGTACATATTATATATATATATATAATTATACATAATTATATATAATTATATATAATTATACATAATTATATATAATTATATATATATACATCAGGTTGGTGATTTGGCCTGAATTCACGCGCTTCAATGAACAGGTTCAATGTTTCGGGTTCCGGATTTTGAACCTGGCGAGTTCCTGCAATACAGACCCAGGGAAGATCCGCAGTGTCCCCTGTGATGCTGCAAGGGGTTCGTGGCTGGGAACTGCGGCAAGCAAGTTGGCCGACCCATCAGGGAATGCTTGCTGCAGAGAGACGAGCCGTTGCGCAGCGGCTGAGGTTCAGCATGGATCTCCCGCCGTGCATCTGGATCTGGAGACTGCGATGGCTGGACCTGCAGGCGTCTGAACTGGGTCTAAGAGTTGTTTTCTTCGCGGCCTTTGGCGAAGTTCTGGTTGCTCTGGCAGATTGCAGCGAAACAATACCGGTCACGGCGGGCTTCTCGAGAAGTATACCTTGAAACGACTGCCTTGCCCCTGGCTATAGTGGAACAACCGACCCACAGCCCAAGCCCTACAACGCCAAAATGTTCTAGTTCAGGCCCCTGCCTCAGTCAAGGTGTCAACCTCTGGCGCTGGCTGGTCGGAGACCTCTGTTGGCACCTTTCACAAGAGCCCAGTGTTAGTGTTCACGATTTCAAAAGTTTCTTTCGCATAGACACCTTTAATTGAGCTAGGGATTCGCGCTAGGGTTTGACCTCTGTGCTGAAGACGAGAACGGACTCCACAACAGTCCTTCAGGACTCAGGACCTGCGAGACTTGTCGTGGCCTCAGCCAGCACATCAGCCTCTGGCGATGGCTGCGTGCCAGGGGCGGCGACCTCGACGGCAGCGCGCTCCACTGCAAGTGCAGAGGTGGCCTCCGTGGGCTAAAGGGATGGATGCTGAGGAAATCAGACGAACAAATCAGGCTCTACGAATTAAACAGATAGGTTTCGGGCCAGCAGCACTGTAAGTGCTTATGGCCTGTACATTGCTATGGGGAGGGCCTAAGAATTGTTTTGTTCCTCTCACAGTCTTTGGCGAACTTGCGGTTGCTCAGCGCGCATGCCGCATACTCCCGCACATTGCAACCCCGAACCCTAAGCTCATCCACAAAAGGCCTGTTAGACACTCTACTGAATTAAAGTCAGGGTGAGGTGACCGTTTCAGCGAAACAATATCGGTCACGGGCGGGCTTCTTGAGAAGTACCTTAAAACTTAGAACGACCAGATTGTTACCCCTGGCTTAGTGGAACACACAGCCCCACAATGAAAACCTTACAACACCACAAAACCTCATTTCTGTCCCGGCCTCAACCAAGGTGTCAGCCTCTGGCGCTGGCTGGTCGGATGCAACAGCTTCCGCCACGTCCTCGACGGCAGCGGTGGGCTCCTCTGCAGGTCTCAAGATGACCTCTGTGGGCACCTTTCACAAGAGCCCAGTGTCAGTGTTCACGGCGTCCAAAACTATAGACACCTCTGATTGAGCTAAAACGGACTCCACAACATTTCCGCAACTCTATCCTCTCTGTAGTCTCTCTCTTGCTGGCCTCAGACTGCCTTAGACACCCTGAACACACATGCCGGGTACAATGTCTTCTGACATTTTATGAAATTTTATACCGTGCCCGCATGTGCCGACCGAAGACGTCAGGACCTATGTGACTAGTCGTGGCCTCATCCAGCGCATCAGGCGTATCAGCCTCTGGCGATGGCTGCATGCCAGGGCCGGCGACCTCCACGGCAGCAGTGCGCTCCACTGCGTGTGCAGAGGTGGCCTCCATGGGGTACAGGGATACCGAGGAAACTCCCAGGAACAAAGCAGGCTTCGCCCAAATTTTACAGATAGATTTCGGGCCAGCAGCCCCCTGGAAGTGCTTCTGACCTCTACCTTGCTATGGGGGAACCGTTGACCCTGAGCTCATGTCCAAACGGCCAGGCATGCGCTCGCGACATAAAGCTAGGGTGACGCGACCGTTTCAGCGAAACAAAACCAGTCACGGCGGGCTTCTCGAGAAGTATACCTAGAAACGAACTTCCTTACCCCTGGCTTAGTGGAACAACCGACCCACAGCCCAAACCCTACAACGCCAAAATGTTCTAGTTCAGGCCCCTGCCTCAGTCAAGGTGTCAACCTCTGGCGCTGGCTGGTCGGAGACCTCTGTTGGCACCTTTCACAAGAGCCCAGTGTCAGTGTTCACGATTTCAAAGGTTTGTTTCGCATTCCCGACTATGGACACCTTTAACTGAGCTAGGGATTCGCGCTAGGGTGGGACCTCTGTGCTGAAGACGAGAACGGACTTCACAACAGTCCTTCAGGACCTGAGAGACTTGTCGTGGCCTGGGCCAACACATCAGCCTCGGGCGATGGCTGCGTGCCAGGGGCGGCGACCTCGACGGCAGTGCCCTCCACTGCATGTGCAGAGGTGGCCTCTGTGGGCTAGAGGGATGGATGCTGAGGAAATCAGAGGAACAAATCAGGCTCCACGAATTAAGCAGATAGGTTTCGAGCCAGCAGCACTGTAAGTGCTTATGACCTGTACATTGCTATGGGGAGGGTCTAAGAATTGTTTTGTTCCTCTCGCAGTCTTTGGCGAACTTGCGGTTGCTCAGCGCGCATGCCGTATACTCCCGCAGCTTGCAACCCCAAACCCTGAGCTCATCCACAAAAGGCCTATTATATATCCTGAATTACAGTCAGGGTGAGACGACCGTTTCAGCGAAACAATATCGGACACGGGCGGGCTTCCTGAGAAGTACCTTGAAAGGACTACATTGTGAAGACTTCCATACGCCTAGCCCAGTGGAACACGGCCCACAGCCCAAGCCCTACGCCCAAGCCCTACAACGCCAAAATGTTCTCAGTTGTGCCCCGGCCTCAGTCAAGGTGTCAACCTCTGGCGCCGGCTGGTGGGATGCAACAGCTTCCGCCACGTCCTCGATGGAAGCTGTGGGCTCCACCGCAGGTCTCAAGATGACCTCTGCGGGCACCTTTCACAAGAGCCCAGTGTCAGTGTTCACGGCTTCCAATTTCTAAGGTTTCTTGCGCATTCCCCACTAAAGACAGCTCTGATTGAGCTAGGGTTTCGCGCTTGTAGCCGCGCGAAGGATGTAGCCTCTGTGCTGAAGGCGAAAAAAGACTCCCCAACATTCCGCAACACTGTCATCTCTATTCTCTCTCTTCCCGGCCTTAGGCCTTAGACACCCTCAAGCCAACATGGCGGGTACAGTTTCTTGAAGTTTGTACCGTACCGGCAAAAGGCGTCAGGACCTGCGAGACTTGTCGTGGCCTCAGCCAGCACATCAGGCGCATCAGCCTTTGGCGATGGCTGCGTGCCAGGGGCGGCGACCTCCACGGCAGCAGTGCGCTCCACTGCATGTGCAGAGGTGGCCTCCGCGGGCTACAGTGATGCCGAGGAAATCCGAGGAACAAATCACCAATTAAGCAGATAGGTTTCGGGCCAGCAGCCCTCAAAGTGCTCATGACCTCTACATTGCCTTGGGGAGGGTCTAAGAATCTAAGGGCTGTGTTTTGTTCACCGTCTTTGGCGAACTTGTAGTTGCTCAGCGACCCGATGATCCCACAGATTGGATCCACAACCCTGAGCTCATCCCCCAAAAGGCCTTGTGTGCACTCTCCACATACAGTCATGGTGAAGCGACAGTTTCAGCGAAACCATAGTTACCGGTCACGGGCGGGCTTCTTGAGAAGTACCTTGAGCGACCCTACATTGGATGAGAGGCGTTCCTTAATTACCTCTGGCTTCGAAAAAGTATAACAGTCGAACGCGCGCCAAACCCTACAACACCACAAACCTCATTTATGTCGCCTCAGTCAAGGGGTCAACCTCTGGCGCTGGCTGGTCGGATGCAACAGCTTCCGTGAGGGGACATTTTCAGCGAAACCATACCGGTCACGGGCGGGCTTCTTGAGAAGCACCTTGAATCCTTGAACGACCCTACATTGATAAACAGTGGAACGCGCACCAAATCCTGCAACACCACAAAACCTCATTTGTGTCCCGGCCTCCGTCAAGGTGTCAACCTCTGGCGCCTCCTCGACGGCAGCTGTGGGCTGCACCGGAGGTCTCAAGGTGACCTCTGCGGGCACCCTTCACAAGAGCCGCTTCAAGAGCCCAGTGTCAGTCAGCTTCCGATACCATAACATAGCACAATCTAGACCTCGAATTGAGGTAGGGTTTAATTAGCCTCTGTGCTGAAGGCGAAAAACGGACTCTATCAAAGTTATCATGTCTAGTGTCTCTCTCGCTGGCCTTAGACACCCTCAAGCCAACAGGGCGGGTTCAGTTTCCAAACGGTATCGGCATTTGGCCGTCAGGACCTACGTGACTAGTCGCGGCCTCAGCCAGGGCATCAGGCGCATCAGCCTCTGGCGATGGCTGCGTGGCAGGGCCGGCGACCTCCACGGCAGCGGTGCGCTCCACTGCGTTTGCAGAGGTGGCCTCCATGGGGTACAGGGATGCCGAGGAAACTCCCAGGAACAAATCAGGCTTCGCCCAATTGAGCAAATAGGTTTCGGGCCAGTAGCCCTCCTAACCTCTACCTTGGTCTGAGAGTCTAAGAGTTGTTTTTGTCACGGTCTTTGGGGGGCGAACTGGTGCTTGCTCAGCGCACGTACTCCCACAGATTGGAACCGTTCACCCTGAGGTCATCAAAAGGTCTTGTGTGCACATTCCGCATAAAGTTCGGGGGACGCGACAGTTTCAGCGAAACAATATGGGTGACGGGCGGGCTTCTTGAGAAGTAAGACTTGCTTACCCCTGGCTTCGTGGAACACCCAGCCCCACAATAAAACCCGAAACGCCAAACAGGCTGATTTATGTCCGGCCTCAGCCAAGGTGTCAACCTCTGGCGCCGGCTGGTGGGATGCAACAGCTTCCGCCACGTCCTCGACGGCAGCGGTGGGCTCCACCGCAGGTCTCAAGATGACCTCTGCGGGCACCTTTCACAAGAGCCCAGTGTCAGTGTTCACGGCTTCCAATTTCTAAGGTTTCTTTCGTCGCATTCCCCACTATAGACAGATTTATTTGAGCTGGGGGTTCGCGCTAGGGTGTATCTAGCCTCTGTCCTGAAGGCGAAACGGACTCCACCACATTTCGCAACTCTTTCACCTCTACAGTCTCTCTCTTACTGGCCTCAGACTGTCTTAGACACCCTCAACACAACATGGCAGGTACAATTTCGAAAAAATGGTACTGTACCGGCATGTGCCGGCCGAAGACGTCAGGACCCTACGAGTCTTGTCGTGGCCTCAGCCACCGCATCAGGCGCATCAGCCTCTAGCGATGGCTGCGTGGCAGCAGGGGCGGCGACCTCGGTCGCCTCCGATGCCGAGGAAATCCGAGAAACAAATCAGGCTCCGCCAATTAAGCAGACAGGCTTCGGGCCAGCAGCCCTCAAGGTGCTCATGAACTCTACATTGCTTTGGGGGAGGGTCTAAGAATGTAAGGGTTGTGTGTGTGTGTGTGTCTTTTTTCACGGTCTTTGGAGAACTCGTGGTTGCTGAGCGATCCGATGATCCCACAGATTGGAACCTCAAACCCTGAGCTCATCCCCCAAAAGGCCTTGTGTGCAGTCTCCACACAAAGTTATGGTGAGGCAACAGTTCAGCGAAACCATGCCGGTCACGGGACGGCTGCTTGAGAAGTACCTGGAACAACCCTACATTGGATGACGCGTTCCTTACGTCTGGCTTCGAAATTTCGTCCCGGCCTCAACCAAGGTGTCAACCTCTTGCGCTGGCTGGTCGGATGCAACAGCTTCCGCCAGCTGCTCGACGTCTGCCGTGGGCTTCACAGCAGGTCTCAAGATGACCTCTGTGGGCACCCTTCACAAGAGCCCAGTGTCAGTGTTCAGAGCTTCCAATGCTGTAGCACAATATATAAGGCCTCTTTCGCATCCCCCACTATCGACACCTCGTTGCGGCGGGGATGGACTCCACAACATGTCCGCAACTCTGTTATCTCTGTTCTCTCAATTGCTGCCTCAGACTGCCTTAGACACCCTCAACCCAACAAGGCGGGCGGGTACAGCGTCCTAAAATTTGTACCGTGCCGGCATGTGCCGGCCCAAGGCGTCAGGACCAACGAGACTTGTCGCGGCCTCAGCCAGCGCATCAGGCGCATCAGCCTCTGGCGATGGCTGCGTGGCAGCAGGGGCAGCGACCTCGACGGCAACACTGCGCTCCACTGCAGAGGTGGCCTCCGCGGGCTACAGGGTCTGAGGAACAAATCCGGCTTCGCCCAATTGAGCAGATGGGTTTCGGGCCAGCAGCCCTGGAAGTGCTTCTGACCTCTACCGTGCGATGGGAGGATCTAAGAGTCTGAGGGATGTGTTTTCACTGTCTTGGGGCGCGAACTTGTGAGAGGGCATACTCCCACAGATTGGAACCGTTAACCCATCCCCAAAAGGCGTACCCACTCTCCACATGAAGTTAGCGAGGCGACAGTTTCAGCGAAACAAGACCGGTCACGGGCGGGCCACCGATTTATGAATGCCTCAGCCAAGGTGTCAACCTCTGGCGCCGGCTGGTCGAACGCAACAGCTTCCGCCACGTCCTCGACGGCAGCAGCGGGCTCCACCGTAGGTCTCAAGATGACCTCTGCGGAAACCCTTCACAAGAGCCCAGTGTCAGTATTCACGGCTTCCAACACTATAGACACCTTTGATTGAGCTAGGGTTTTGCGCTAGTAGCCGCGCGAAGGATTTAGCCTCTGTGCTGAAGGCGAAGACGGACTCCACAACATTTCCGCACCTCTGTCCTCTCTATAGTCTCTCTCTCTCTCTCTCTCTCTCTCTCTCTCTCTCTCTCTCTCTCTCTTACTGGCCTCAGACTGCCTTGGACACCCTCAACCCAACATGGCGGGTACAATTTCCAAAACTATTATCTCGCGCCGGCACGTGCCGACCAAAGACGTTAGGACCCACGTGACGCCTCGTCCAGCGCATCACGCGCATCAGCCCCTGCCGATGGCTGCGTGCCAGGGGCGGCGACCTCCACGGCAGCGGTGCGCTCCACTGCGTGTGCAGAGGTGGCCTCCATGGGCTATCAGGGATGCCGAGCAAATCCGCGGAACAAATCACTAATTAAGCAGATAGGTTTCGGTCCAGCAACATTGCTATGGCAGGGCCTAAGAGTCTAAGGGCTGTTGTTTTTTCACGGTCGTTGGGTGCGAACTTGTGGTTGGTCAGCGCGCGTACTCCCACAGGCTTGTACCGTTAACCCTATAAGCTCATCAAGAATCAAAAGGCCTTGCATGCGGTCTTTACATACAGCTTAGGTGAGGCGACAGTTTCAGCGAAACAAGACCGGTCACGGGCGGGCCTCGTGAGAAGTCCCTTGAACGACCCTACATTGGACGAGAAGCGTTCCTTACTGGCTTCGAGAAAGTATAAACAGTGGAACGTGCAGCCCCGCAGCCCAAACCCTACGACATCACAAAACACTGATTTTATGTCCCGGCCTCAGTCAAGGTGTCAACATCTAGCGCCGGCAGGTGGGATGCAACAGCTTCCGCCACGTCCTCGACGGCAGCGGTGGGCTCCACCGCAGGTTTCAAGATGGCCTCTGCGAGCACCCTTCGCAAGAGCCCAGTGTTAGTGTTCACGGCTATCAATACCGCTGAACAATTTACAGGGTTTTCGCCACTATACAAACTAGGGCTTAGGCTCTGCGCTGAAGGCGGCGACGGACTCAACAACATTCCGCAACTCCATCGTCTCTAGCCGTCTCTCTCTCACTGGCCCAAGACACCCGCAACCCAACATTGCGTTGAGAATTCCTAAATTCCACCTGCCCTGGGGCTCCAAGTATACAAATAAGACCTACATTGAGGTCTAAAGTCTGTAAATAATACCTACTTTGGGCGATTTGGAGCCTCAGGGCTGCATGGGAACCTACGAGACTTGCCGTGGCCTCAGCCAGCGCGTCAGCCGCTGGCAGTGGCTGCGTGCCAGGAACAGCCACCTCCGACGGCAGCAGTGCTCTCCACTGCGTGCGCAGAGGTTTAATGTTTCGGGCTTGGGGTTTAGGGTTTAGGGTTTGGGGTTTAGGGTTTAGGGTTTCGGGTGAGCAGAAGGGATGCCGAGGAAATCCGAGGAACAAACCAGGCTCCGGAACGGCGCCAAGCAAGCAGATAAGTTCGGGTGAGAGGCCCTCAATTTTCCCTCGCATACTTTGAATGCTTTGAGACAACTATCGTAGAGGAAGAGAATCCTCACCTCGAGCTCAAGGCAAACAACACACCCGAGCCAAGACCCTGTACCTTAGCGTCCCTGCAATGTCGCGGCCTTAGTCAAGGTGTCAACCTCTGGTGATGGCTGCGGGTCAGGGGCAGCAGCGGCGGCTGCCTCGACGGCGGATGTTGAAACCGAGCCGTGCTATGAAACCTGTGAAAACTATTTATGTATAGGTTCCCTGAGAAAACAACAAATGTCCCCAAGCAGAACCCAGGAAAGGATTAATATGTTTTATTCTTTTGGGGTTCTTAAGCAAATAGTAGGTTAGCTACCCACTTGCTGCCGTGAAGATGTATGTACATGCCAGCACACACTGAGCCTGCCACTCGGTGAGTCTGTGCCAGCAACCCTAAACCCTAAACCCTTTTCCAAGAGACTTCGCCCGCCTCGATAACATCCCTCTGAGCCAAGGCCGCCCTGCAAGCCCCCCTGTACTCGTGACAGCAAGGCCCCCAATCCCCCTGCACTCTTGACAGAAAGACTAGAGCAGGCGACTCAGCTTCTCGGCCCACGTTTCAGGAATGACACTATAGAGTATGAGAAAGTTGAAAGACTCAAAGGTACTCTCATGAAACCGAACTAGCTCACTATAGAAGCACTGTTGCATCCAATCTTGCAGATGAACGTCAATCACAAGGCCCTCAAATTCCAACTGAATCCAAAGCAGCCAAATCTGTAAAACCTCTTGGATTGGGACAACCCTAAACCCTAAACCCTAAACCCTAAAACCCTAAAACCCTAACCCCAGCCTCTGGCGATGGCTGTGATGCAGCTGCTTCCGTCGTGAACGGGACAGCAGCGGAGGGCTCCGCTGCATGTGCATTGCTGACCTCTGCGAATTTGCACTCGCCAGCTGCGTATGTTGCTATTTGCTCAAGAACCCCCCCCCCCCCCCAAAAAAAAAAAAAAAAAAGAATATGGAAATACTTATCCCTATCTTACCCTTATAAGGAAGAATAATTTTTTTGGGGTATCTTAAGCAATTCGTAGTATTTTGCTAAAGCCCAAAGGGTCCATGTACTCATATACGGGTATTTCCCAAAATAGGGGTACCCCTTTTATACCTCCAAATAGAATAGAATCCCCCTAAAGGGACCCCTTTTTCCCGAAAGCATCGCGAAGGGTTCTTCCGTGCGGAGCCCCCTGACACAACAACATAGAGTGAAGTGCATAGAGTGAAGTGCATAGAGTGAAGTGCATAGAGTGAAGTGCATAGAGTGAAGTGCATAGAGCGAAGTGCATAGAGTGAAGTGCATAGAGCGAAGTGCATAGAGTGAAGCGCATAGAGCAAAGTGCATAGAGTGAAGTGCATAGAGGCAAGTGCACAGAGTGAAGTGCACAGAGTGAAGCGCATAGAGTGAAGTGCATAGAGTGAAGTGCATAGAGTGAAGTGCATGAAGTGCATAGAGTGAAGTGCATAGAGTGAAGTGCATAGAGTGAAGTGCATAGAGTGAAGTGCATAGAGTGAAGTGCATAGAGTGAAGTGCATAGAGTGAATTGCATAGAGTGAATTGCATAGAGTTTAGTAATCAGTGAATACAAATTTCTAGATTTACGTAGAATTTACTAGACCTTCGTACCCAGTCCTAGATTTCTAAATTAAAATTACTCTTTCTAAGGCGGCGGGCTGGGTTGACATCGCCAATCGGGATTGCAACCCTCTGCGGGTTTCGGCGTGGTCGCGGTGCTAAAACCGTCGTTTTTTTACGTTTCTTGATTTGCGCGGACAACCCTCTGCGGGTTTCGGCGTGGTCGCGGTGCCAAAACCGTCGTTTTTTTACGTTTCTTTGTGGCCGCGGACAACCCTCTGCGGGTTTCGGCGTGGTCGCGGTGCCAAAACCGTCGTTTTTTTTACGTTTCTTTGTGTCCGCGGACAACCCTCTGCGGGTGATCGCCGGGTCGCGGTGCTAAAACCGTCGTTTTTGGAACTTTTTTCCGTGGCCGCAGGCAACCCTCTGCGGGTTTCGGCGTTGGCGCGGTGCCAAAACCATCGTGTTTTGGCCTTTTTTGACAAACAAACGTAACCCCTCTGCGGGTTGCGGCGTTGGCGCGTGGGCACGGAACTCTGGGGCTTTGAAAACCTCGCAAATAACATGGGCGCGGAATTCTGGGGCTTTGAAAACCTAGCAAATAACGTGGGCGCGGAATGCTGGGGCTTCGAAACCCTCGCAAATAACGTGGGCGCGGAACTGTGGGGCTTCGAAATCCTCGCAAATAACGCGGGCGCGGAATTGTGGAGCTTCGAAATCCTCGCAAACAACTTGGGGAACATGGGCACGGAACTCGCAACTAACGTGGGCGCGGAACTCTGGGGCTTTGAAAACCTCGCCGAGCTAGCTTGGTAGCCGTATGAGAAGTTCTGGAAGAGTTGAAGCTGGGGGACAAGCTAGGAGGTGGCGCTGCGCAGCAGCAAGAGCTGCGCGGCCTGCGCGAAGGTTTCGCCGCTCACGGCGTGGCTTGGCTGCGCGAGGAGCTTGCGAAGCAGACCGTGACGCAGTTGCGGGCGCTTGCTGGGGCTGCGGGTGTGCAGGGGGCGTCTACGCAGAGATTCGCGGCAGCCTCGAGTCCGTTCAGAAAGCTGCCGCGCCTTGGACGAAGGACGTTTTCTTTGCCGCCGACCTGAAGATGGTACTTCGTACAACCTGAGCGACATCTCCGACTGGCCTCTCGATGCTGTGGTGGTGCGGTCTTCGAAGCCTGGTCGACGTCAGCACCAACACTTCCGCGACGGGCGTGCAGCAGCGCTGTGAAGCTGGCAATGCGAAACAAAGAGGAGCTTCTTCACGCTCTGTTGCAGTGCATTTCCGAGCAGGAGGCGTTATGGGAAGCTTTCCCATGACGCCTCCTGCTCTGAAATGCACTGCAACAGAGCGTGAACAAGCTCCTCTTTGTTTCGATTGCCAGCTTCATCAGGCGCACTATTGCGCAAGTTGCATTGTGTTGTGGATTTGCGAAAGTGTGGGGACGCAGCCCGCGGGGCAGGGCGAGTTTTGACGTCACAGCGGAGGCAGGGCCCGAAAGCGCGGCTGCAGAACCGCATGGACGCCGTCCGGGCTATGTTTAGTATGGACACTGCGACGCACGCGCGTGTGAAAATGCAGCTAGGACCGCCCGGGACGATTGGCACCTTTGTCGACCGACTTGCAAGTAAAGCTGTTTTCTGCGCGCAGGTATTCCATGGCGACCAACATGCACGGCCCTTACTTAGACTCCACCTCTTTTGTCTGTTTTTGTGCTTGTGTGGTTTTTGCTTCTTTCCTTGCACCGGCGCAGGTGCGTGCCGCGACCGGCCGCTGGAGCTCGGCGTTGTCTTCAACGCCGATGAAAAGTCTACAGAGTTGACCACAAGTGCATGGCATTCAACTCCACACACTTGAATGCCATGCAGTTCCAGTGCATACAAGTGCAGTGTACAAGTGACTATGCAACCATGTAAGGGCATACATTTCTCCAAGTGCATACAGTTCGATTACAAAGAGTCAAGTGCATGGAGTCAACGCACGGCAAATCGATGCTTTCGGGCCATCCCTCTTCTAGTTTCTTGCCATCCGCCTAAAAGTCGCACTGCAGGGAAGCGCACACGCTATCATCGACTCGTTGAGGGTTTAGGGTTTAGGGTCTCTTCAGTACAGTGCCCCTCAAAACTGTCCGTGGGTGCACATGTGGGCTCCACCGGATCAGAAGCAGCTTGCTTGGGTTTCGGCAGTTGGTTGCACCTAGTCCCAAAAGGGGCTGCATTCTTGCGCGTGTGTCCAACAGCTCTGGCCAACCTTCACAGCTGTTTTCTAGTTCATGGTTGGGATAATATATTAAATATATTATTTGTCCTTATTGGGTCTAAGTACCCTGAAAAAATGTAAAATGGTACCCAACTATGACAAAGTTTTGCGAGCATGGGCACAGTTAGACCTCTTGACTCGCCTACTAAGCTATGATAGTGTATGTATAACTATATACATATATATATATAGGGGCCAAAAGGACATAGGATGAGTACTTATTCCGACACCTATACTAAAATCTCCTCAGAAAGCCTGCCAATCGGCCTGCGCCGCGGTCTCTTTGGACGGCTCTCTTGGCGCAGTGGGTGGCCCCTGGCATACTGCGCTGGTTAGTAGGGAATGGGGGGAATGAGGTACCCTATATAATCCCTTAAAGGGTATGTATATATATATATATATATGTGATAGCCAACAGAAAGCTGGCTCGGACAGCTCCGCACTGAAATTCGCACGCAGAGATCCTATTCATCCTAAACGCGCGCCGGGCCTGCACTTGGAACCAGGGTTTAGGGTTTAGATTTGTGGGCTGAAACCCCAGAAGCATCCAAAAGCCATCTAAACACCCACTTTCGGACTCCGAAGCCAAGTCCAAAGCCGCCTCAGAGCTCAACAATGGTAGGCATGGAGAGATTCATGACAGTAGGTTAAGGATTTAGGGTTTGATTCGGTTCCTGAATCCAGCCCTGAGCCTCAGACTCTTTTCGTCCTAAACCCTGACCTTCCGCCTTCAACAAAACAACCCAAACAGCTCAGCTCGATCCCCCCCCGAGCCTCACTGGATGGCTCCTCTGGCCCAGGCAGATCTGTGGGCACTAGGACTCGGATGCGGACACTCGGGGAGCTGCCCACGTCGTTGACGGCCTTAACCTTGCAGGGTTGGGCTTTGAGAGGGCTCTCGAGGAGGAGCACCACGTATTCTCGCGGCAACATGCAAGTGCGGAGGATGCCCCGAAAGAATAGCCTCTGTGAGTCTAGAGCTAGACCCCTCATAAATGGACAAGCTGAATCCAAACTCTTGCCCGCCAAGCTTGTCCTTCAACCCTCCGCAACACCACAACAAACACTGCCCGAAATGCCCTGCAAGAAACCAAACCGCAAAAAATAGCTTAACGCGAAAAAGTTGGTGTAATCAGAGACTTTGACACTTCACCATAGGCCGCATAGGCAAAAAACCGGACCCTTGCCCTGGACGTTCCTGGACCTGATGTAGGCCCGACGCTATCGCCCCGAAAAACCCTAAACCCTAAAACCTAAACCCCAAACCCTAAACCGCCTGAAACTCGTAGGCTCGGTCGGCAACCAGGCCGTGGATGGTTAGCAGCTCTGGCGAGGAGGCCGGAACCTCACAGACGGCGTGGGAAGCCGCGCTCAAGAGTTTGGGTTTTGGGTTTAGGGTTTAGGGCTTAGGGTTTAGGGTTTAGGGCTTAGGGTCCTAAACCCTAAACCCTAAACCCAAAACCCGAAACCCTAAACCCTAAAGAGCCCACGGCTGGGCTGTGCAGCCGGCCTTGAAGTCCCCGATCTCCTCCAGATCCTCCTCTGCACCTGTTAGTGACACCCTGTGCCCTAGACTGGGTAGGGTTTAGGGTTTAGGGTTCAGGGTTCAGGGTTCAGGGTTCAGGGTTCAGGGTTTGGGGAGTGTAGGGTTTATATAGGGTTTAAGGTTTTGGGTCTTGGGGTGGAGGGGGGGGGGGGGGGGGGGTGTTTGGGGCCCTACAAAAATACGTTCTTATGGCTTCAAAAAGGTTACAGAGGGGAGGGGGATCCCTGCTGAAATATCTGGAAGGCAGGTAGGGTTTAGGGTTGGTTTTAGGGTGTGTGTTGGATTGGGGGTGCTTCGAAAATGGGGGTGCACTTGTTGGGGGTCCCTTTAACGGGAATCTATTCAATTCTTTTTAGGACTTAGAAGGGGTACCCCTACTTTTGGAAATAGCAATTTTGGGGGCCCTACAAAAATGTTAAAAGACATAGCTTTTGTAGGGTTATAAGTATATGGGATTTGGGGAAATTAAAAATGTTCAAACCTACCCTTGTAGACCCAAACCCCAAACACCAAACCCCAAACCCCAAGGTAGACTCTGACGTCATAGCTTCCCGTAAACAGCCATCAGTCGGGAAGGTACCCTGCGAAGGACAAGATGCTTGCAACCACTAAGCCGTCGAAGCCCTAACAGCTCCGATAACCCTAAACCCCAAACCCTAAACCCTAAACCCTAAACCCCCGGCCCGCGCGAGGTCTCAGTAGTAGAACGGTGGCCACGACATGGGTGGCGGCAGTTCGGCTCTCAACCAGGGCCTGGTTTTCCAAGTCTGTTTACAGAGTTTCTTGATTAAAAAACAAAAATGAATAATAATATCAATCCCTATATTGCCCTTATAAGGAAGAATCTCTTTTATTTCTGGGGGGGGGGGGTTGCGATTTTGGAATTGGGGCTTTCTTTTCGCTCCCACGTAGCAGGCTGTAGGGCTGTGGGCTTGAGATGCTCAAAATCCCTTCTGCTATCGAATGCAAACATCCGAAACCCTAAGCCCTAAGCCCAAAAACCCTCGGCCCTAAGCACCCAAAGGTCTGCAGGAAAATAGAGTTGCCAAGCTAAGCTACGTTGCGTGACAGCATCAGACTCATTTGCTTTTAAGTTTGGAGCTCCCGAACACAACCAGATCACGAACAGCGAGGCGAAACCTTTCCCCCTTGCTGTTTACCCTGTCGCCTCGGAGCTCCACAAACCTTAGAAGTCCTTCCGATAAGGAACCTTCCCGCGGGCTTTATGCGAAAACATACACAAAACCCCCCCCCTAGACCCTAAACCCTAAACCCTAAGCCCGAAACCCTAAACCCTAAACCCCATGGCTCCGGGACACCCTTTCGGAGGTCGTCTGCACCTCGAGCTGAACCTCGGCGTCGCCTCCCCGAAGGTGCTTTTGGGCTATTTGGGGCGCAGTAGACTTAGGATGGCTTTTAGGGTTTCGGCTCTCGCACTCGCACAAGGCAGGCAAGGACTCGGTCGGAAGGTTCTCACTACGACAATCCGCCAGATTGGCTTTTAGGGTTTCGGGTTTAGGATTTTGAGGGTTTCGGGTTTCGAGGGTTTTCAGCAGCGTGGCCGATTGTGGCGGCCGCTGCGCTCTTCTTGCTTGCGTTTTGCATGTTCGGGAGTGACTCAAGGCTTCTTGCCGCGTTGTAGCAGAGCTCCGCTTTTTAATTCGTAGGTTTGCGAACCACACAAGTCAGAAGAGCCGTGAGTCACTTCGAGGTCACTTAAGGGCGTTAAGGAGCCCAAAAAACTAAGTAATCCCCTCCCCCTAATACCCCTAATGTTCAATAACCCCCCCCATATACTCCAAAATATTTATAATGGGAGTATTTCGTAAGAAGTCAAACTCCGAAGTTAGACGACCCGAAGCCGCCCGCCGTCTTGGCGTCTCCGAAGTTTCACGATGCGGACGCTGCTTGGCATCCTGGGCAAGTGCAGCAGGCGGCGTACTACAAGCATCATGAGGGTTTAGGGTCAGGGTTTAGGGTTTGGGGTTTAGGGTTTCGCCACCGGAAGACCCCTTCATCCTAAACACTGAAAGCCTACAACAACTCGATTATAGAAACTTGGTGTCAGCCACGGCGCTCGGGTGCCTGGCCAGGAACTCCCAAGAAGTCCTCACACGGAGGAATGTTAGGGTGTAAACACGCCCCTTGGGCACAGGGGGGTATGGTAACATCCTTGCTTATATTCTCCTTTTATAGGGGGTATGGGTTTGGGGCATGATGAGCTATTCTTAGATAGGGGTCAGCGATTTGTAACTTGCATTCTCCGAAGTCTATACCGGGTTGTTGTTCGTTGGCTGTTAAACCTTTTCTTTTCATCCGGGCTTGGTTCGGAAAACCCTAAGCCCTAAACCCGAACCTAGCAGAAAACGACGCGAGTCCGGGAGCAGAAATAAACGAAGCTCTTGGTCCAACATGCGAAAACTTAAACGGAACATGCTTGAAAGCAAGCCACACTTCCTAGACATGCAAACTTCAGCGCCACGCCTATCTAAGAATAGCTCAAGAGGCATCCGAAGCAAACCATAAACTTGGGGCATCAGCTTGGGTTTAGGGTTTAGGGTCTAGGGATACCCTAAACCCACCACATGCGACAGCACTGCAACATACAAAGGACCCAGCGTAGAGCCCCAATTCCTCCAAACCCCCCTTTGGAGCTTAGAGCTTGCGGCCCTAAACCCCGACTCATACGACTTCTACTAGCATTGACCACCCGAAACACCAACGACAAAACACGCACACAACACAAACCCTAAACGCCCCAAAGCGCTCTCAGCCCTCCACCCAAGAGCCTCAACCCTAAACCCTGAACCAGAAGCCCTAAACCCTTAAACCCTAAAACCCTAAACCCTGAACCCCAAACCCTAAACCCCGAACCACAAGCCCAAAACCCTTAATTAAACCCTGAACCCCAACCCTAAAGCCTGAACCACTCTCTCTCTCTCTCTCACAGGCATTCGAAACGTCAAAACCATAAGCCCTAAACCCCCCAAACCCTAAACCCTAAACCCTGAACCCTAAAACCAGAACCACAAGCCCTAAACCCTTAAACCCTAAACCCTTTTTCAAAGAGGTCTCAAACCCTAATCCCTGAACCCTGAACCCTTAAACCCGAAACCCTGAACCCATGAACCCTTTAAAACCCAAGAGCCAGGCTAAAGCCCTGGTCCTGGAGCACAGTGCTGTCTCGCAGCTCGCTATCCGATAGCATCTCGGCAAGCTGGGCCTCACCCAACCAACAGGGAAGGGTTTAGGGTTTAGGGTTCAGGGTGTGTGGTTTCGGGTTTCCGGTTTAGGGTTACGAGAAAAGCGTACGTTGTCTCATCGTGCTTCATGCGATTTTGATATGGCATCCGGACCACTTCGGAACCCTGACAGGAGGCCATGCGGGGTGTCTTTCTGTTGCTTTTGCAAGACATATCTCTTGCATGGGTTTCCACAGGTCCTCAGGCTTCGAATGTCTGTGATCCTCTCTACATGAAGTAGGGTTTATGTTTCTCGGATCCCCAAAAGGACACCAAGTATATACACTCACCAAGAACATAACTACAAACCCTGCTGCGCATTCTTAGCAGCAACAACATACAGCATGATCAGAAGTCAGAGTCTGAGGCTTGGCACGGCCTTAATCTGGAGGTTCGTCACAAACTAGGATGGCCCCTTAAAACCCTCTGAAAAATGAACCCTCTTCAACCCAATAAGGGAAAGTATATAAACATCCCACAGGCCTAATTACCTAGCAAACAGGAAGCGTGATGCATCGGTATCTTCAGATCCTGAGCATGGAGCTAGTCGCCAGGGAGTTTTCTTCATGGCAAGTGGGACTCTCAAAAGGGCCTGAAGCTTCTCCAGCTGCTTGCGCGAGACGTCCGAGGATCGTCGAAAGAAAAAACCTGGGAACGACTTGTTGGTTTCTGGGTGGTAGGTTCTGCTTGTGTGCCCTTTGCAGACTGGCCTCCCAGCTGTGCGTGGCCTTGTGCAGCAGGCAGAAGAGCTTAGTACTTAGGGTTTAGGGTTTAAAGGCGCGAAGGCGTTAGGGACAACAGTGCTGCTAATCAACACTGCCTCCAGAATGCGCAAAACAAGCTGAACAAGTAGCTATCTTCTAAAGCCAGCATGCTTCTCTTTTGGCACGTTGGTTTTGGCAAGGATGGGTTGCGCGGTAACCTGAGGGTCAGGGAGGGTGCGTGGCTGGTACGTGGCATACTCGCACCTTCAAGGTGCTGTGCAGGGCATGTGCAGACATGAAAAGTTGTCTCGAACTTCGTGAAATAAGGTTTGAGAATCTCAACAAACAAAATGCTGTTAACTCGAAGCCAGCTGACGACACAACGCTACCCCACCACCGCTCCTAGTAGCCACCCCACACACCAACTACGCTGAACAGGGAGGGGCTGCACACAGCTGAAATCTTAACCCTCAACCCTTTTGCCTAAACTTCAACCCAAAAACGCTTTTATTAACAACAGAGAAATCGTTTGATGTGCAACATGCTGCGGTTTTTTTCCCTCGTCGTGACAGGCCTGGCCTGAAACAGAACACACACACACACACACTCACAGATATACGCGCGCGCACACACACACACACGCGCGCACACGCGCACACGCGCACACGCGCACACTCACACACGCACACACGCACACACGCACACACCCACACACCGACACACCCACACAGCCACACAGCCACACACCCACATACCCATGCACACACACACACACACTCACTTAGACTCAGACGCACGGTTGTACTCAGCTTTCTCTCGACTCTTTCGATGCTACCGGCGACCCCCGTCGCCCACTAATATGAGCCAAGTCTACGGGAATGATGAAAGCAATGTACAGCGAGTATGTGTACTATATCGCAGACAGTGTGCAGCGAGGATGGCAGCGCAGATCTACATTGATCATCACGAAGAAGGTACAGGGACAAGTTCCCCTTCCCATCCATACTCTACCACGCCCCTGCTATGGAATTTCGAAGACATTGTCCGTGGACCGAAGTCACTAGTAGTCACTAGTGGTAGATTACACACACACCCACGCCCGCACGCCCCCGCACACAAACACAAATGCACACACGCACACACTAACACAAACGCAAACACTATGAACAAAACAAACACAGAATGAACTCATAATTGACACGCGCACGTACACGCCGAGGTTACACAAAGCCCCCGACTCCCACCACCCAACATCCCCGACAACTCTGCATCGCAAACGTTGAGTTCTAGCCTTTTCAACCCCAAACCATACCACTCGCAATTCCCCTAAACCCTAAACCCTACACCTTTTTTTTTGCATCCGGGCTGGGGAGTCGGCCGGGAACAGTCAGGAAATCGTGGTGACTTGCATCTGACAATTGGAGCAACCATCTCAAGAGAAGCAGGGATCCCTCAAGCTATTCATGAGAGATCAAGCAAAGGCATGCAACTGATCGGAAGAAATACGAAATACCTCCTACACAAATTCAAGCTGTGACTCGGCAGCCGAATCTTGCTGTTCGCGGGCTTGTCGTTCCAGTCTTCGCTGTGCATTTCTCGGCGGAGCTCGATGTGTTGGGCTTTCAAACTCGAAAGGTCATGGTCAGGATTTCTATCACGCACGTCTGGGCATGGCGAGGCTTCTGGCCTGTGAACGGCACATGCCATCGTCGGACCATGAGGAACTGAAGAACACGCCGCAGTGCCGGGTGAATCAATTCAGCTGGCCGTGGGCAAGAAGTGATCCGATGAGTCGGCCTACAGTTGGCGCAAGCGTTCTTCAAGTGCCACCGTAGATGCCTTCGCTTGATCCAGAATCTTGTCCACAATCATGGTGCACTCACTTGCCTAAACCCTAACCCTAAACCCTACACCTCTCTTACCATATATATTTAAACCCTATACACCTTCGTGGCTAAGGGCCATTTCTTCGTGGCTAAGGGCCATTTCTTCGAGGCGAAGGGCCATTTCTTCGTGGCTAAGGGTCCTTTCTTCGTGGCTAAGGGCAATTTCTTCGCTAAGGGCCATTTCTTCGTCGCTAAGGGCCATTTCCTGGGTGCTAAGGGCCATTTCTTCGTGGCTAAGGGTCATTTCTTCGTGGCCAAGGGTCATTTCCTTCGTGGTTAAGGGTCATTTCCTTCGTGCCTAAGGGTCATTTCTTCGTGGCTAAGGGTCATTTCTTCGTGGCTAAGGGTCATTTCTTCGTGGCTAAGGGGATGAAATGGTTCGTGGGTAGGATGGTCCATGACAGAGTGATGTAAACTTTGTATTTCTTAATGCGAACCGGAGCTGCTGAACTCTAAACCCTAAACCCTAAACGCTCAACCCTCAACCCTAAACCCTAACCCTAAACCCTAAAGAGCTTAAAGTGACCCTGGGCCCTGGCCTGAAGAGCGGCGGCTGCTGCCCGTGCACCCGCGAGCCTGGGGTTTACATGTTCCGCACTTCTGAAAGAGCCCAAACTACCCCTTAAATCAGGAATATACCTGGGGTTAAGTTTAGGGTTTATAGGGTATTAGGGATCCTTAGATAATTTGTGGTACATTCCTTAATTAAGGGGTATAGGGGCCTCTCTGGGTTCCATGAAACCTTACATGTGGAGAAAAATCCTGAGATGCTGCCTCCCCAAGCCCCCCGCCCCATCCCTCCCCCATCCTCCCCTCCCCACCCTCCCCCACCAAAAAAGGTTCTTGCAGGAAAAAGCGTCGCTCGCGGGCCGCTGGATTTTACCTGCTTCGCGCAGGAGCCGCCTCGTCGCATCATGCGAGGCGGCTCTGGGTTTGAGGGCTTCGGGCTTTCGGGTACATTATTGAACAGGGTTTATAGTGCTTGCCAGTCTGCTACGCTGGTGATCCTTCAGTGCTGTATACACCCCCCCCAAGCCCGAAACAGTTGGGTTTCAATCTCTAGGATGTACAACTTGGTGCGCTTCGGCGTCAAGAGCCCTGCCTTTGAGAGCATAGACTCCGCAGACCAGGCCATAAGATACCAAACTAGACGCTTAAATCGTAGACCCAAGAGTGACCTAGGAAAAAATAGGGAATGAGGGCCTACTCTGGATCCTGGTACCCCAACACAGGGCCCGAGCAAAGGCCTAGGGTTCAGAATTGGGGGGGGGGATTATCAAATTAATTTTTTTTCGGCTTTAGGCTGTTTTACTTTTTCTATTTGGGGAAGGGGGGGGGGGGGGGGGGTCCTTTCTATAGGATTGCAAAGAATATGGGAGGGCATATAAGGGGTCCCTATTTGCGCTATTTCTTTTAGCCTAAAGACAAAGGAGTGCAGCTCTCAACGCTGTGGAGCCACTCTTCGAGGTGCTGCCAATCTGACAGCGGCCGCCGGACGAGCCAGAAGACTCCACTTGGGAGGTGCGTGACCTTGGAGCTTGGGGCTTACCATCCTGAAGCCATCTAAAAATATATTCCTGAATATGACCCTGCTAAACCCAATAAGGGAAATATAAAATGTCCCAAAAGGCCTACCTAGCTTAGGGTTTAATGAGGCTAGACCCGGGAGTAACCTAGGGATAAAAGGAAGGGAACCCCAACCCTAAAACAAAAAGGAAAAAAGGGCCTACTCCCGGTCCTAGTAGCCCTAAACCCTAAACCCTAAACACCAAAAAAAAAGGAAATAAGGGAGGAATCAATGATTGTTTCGACTCACGCTCGCTCGTGAAAGGCAAGCCTTGAGGGACAGGCCACCTTTTTTTGTTGGTTGCTCAGGGGAGTGGATGCGTAGCAACCCTAAACCCTAAACCCTAAACCCTATAAACCCTAAACCCTAAACCCTAAACGAAGGAGGAGGCTGCAAGAAGCACGGAAAGGACAGAGTGCGTCCTGCACGTTCTGTTCCGAACATACGGCCATGCAGCCGCACGGTGGGCTGCAAGATGCCGGCAAACCAGTGGGGCCCTTCTTGATTCAATAGCATGCCCAACCCTCAGCGAAGTTGACACCCTAAACCCTAAACCCTAAGCCCTAAACCCTAAACCCTAAGCCCTAAGCCCTAAACCCTAAACCCTAAACACTAAATGACGACTGTCACAGCAGCGCAAGTTCTACAGCTGCAGGCAGGGGTGCGCGGAAGTTGCACTCCAGATCGCCATGACCTCGGATTTCTTAAGCATGAGGGTTTAGGGTTTAGGGTTTAGGGTTTAGGGTTTAGAGCTCAAGCAGGTGCCTTAGACGGAGCCCGAGCGGCCAAATGCATGCGAGCCCAGGCTATGTAGAAGCGCGGGGGTTCTGAACAGCAAAAACCCTTCTAAACCCCAAGCCCTCTTCCTAAACCCTAAACCCTAAACCCTAAACCCTAAACCCTAAACCCTAAACCCTAAGCCCCGAAAAGCTATCGGGCCAGTGGCTGTCCTGCGAATGTCCCAGGAAGGCTGCAGCAAACTCGCGTGGGTGTGCTGGCGGTCCTTGCCCATACTGGCTCACAGAGCAAAAACCCTTCTAAACCCCAATCCCTCTTCCTAAACCCTAAACCCTAAACCCTAAACCCTAAACCCTAAACCCTAAACCCTAAACCCTAAAAACAAATTGAGCCCTCAACCGTGGCGATATACATGTATGTTTATCTATATTTATGTTTATATTTAGTTGTATATGTGCATCTGTATTTATAGCGAGAAAGCCCTAAACCTTTACATATGTACATCGGACCTTAAACCCTTGTGTGAAAGGTTCCTTGGCTGGCGCCTGGGCAGTCTTGTCTCTGCTCCCCCCAAGTGAAACGCTCCAATGGCTTTTCTACTCTTCTTGAGGGCAGCGGTTTAATATTCTTCTTCTTCTTCTTATTATTATACTATTTTTTAGTTCTTACTTTTTTTGGGTTTTCAAGAGCTCCCATGCGCTCCCATGAACATCAGCAGCCCCTCACCCTGAAAGTGGTGCCTCGTCCACACATGCTACACGCAGCATGGGGAGTCACCAGCACTGCTTCGGTTTTGGGGTTTGGGGTTTAGGGTTGGACATGATTGAGCAAAAGCGGAGCACACAAATCAGCTGTGTCCCTTTACAAGGGAGGTATGCGGCCGGGAGGGGGCCCTCAGGAGCCGCCCCCAAAGGACGAACGCCACGAGCATGGCGTTTGTTTTGTGTGCTTCTTGCAATGCCCCTCGACTTCTCGAGTCGTCTTTTCAGGTCAAGGTCGCATCATCCAACGACTCCGTGGCTCCGCGGGGTCTGGATGATGCTCGTCCCTATAGGGTTTAGGGTTTAGGGCCCGCAGACGCAGCCCAGCTGGATGCGTAAGGTTACCACTTATGGCCAGGCGAGCATGAGGAGGATCATCTTTGGGCTTTGGGCGACAGGAAGAGGCCAAAGCCAGCCTTGATGAGGGTTTAGGGTTTAGGGTTCAGGGTTTAGGAATCAGGGTTATCCCCTTCACAAACAATGATGCTGCTGATGCCGCCAGAGCCCCCTAAAGCCCCAAAGAGAAAGCCCAACGACGGGCTGTGTGAGGTAACCCTAACCGTAAACATGTGAGGTAACCCTAACCCTAAACCCTACAAGCCGTCAGAACCCTCAGCCCCAAACCCTGAACCCTTAACCTTAAACTCTAAACCCTAAACCCCGGAACCCCCCCCAAAAGCCCTAAACCCTAAACCCTAAACCCCAAACAAGTTCCCTCAGGTCCTGGGTCCATTGCCGGCTCTGGCCCTCATGTTCAGGGCTTCGGAGCCCGGGCGCGAGGACTCATGGCTAGGGTTTAGGGGTTAGGGGTTAGGGCTTAGGGTTTAGGGTTTAAGGTTTAGGGTTTAGCGTTTAGGGCTGCTTAGGGCTTTAGGGGCTTGGTGTAGGGTGTTGCAGGGTGAATATCGTGGCGGAGCGGGGTTTATGGAGTACGCTCGAGGCGAGTTGGGTGCGCTGGCAGCTTTGGCTCTGCTGTGGAGGCTTTGGGTTAGGGTTTAGGGTTTAGGGTTTAGGGTTTAGGGTTTAGGGTTTAGGGTTTAGGGTTTAGGGTTTAGGGTTAGGGTTTAGGTTTTAGGGTTGAGGGTTGAGGGTTCAGGGTTCAGGGTTTATATAGCGTTCCCCTTCACTGCACGGGGGGGGGTCATGTAGTGTTGAATGATTCTGAATCGTTTGTGAGGGCTGCCAGGGTTGGCAATGAGTGTCCCTGTCCCACTCTGGGTCATGAGCTGTGTACGCTTCCGGCATGTTGCTTTCGCGGACCCTGAGGCATCATTGGACTTCGACACTGGCAATCCATCGTGCCTTCCAGACATCCGCTGGGACCCTCTGACAACTACTCGTGCCATCTACTTAATAGTACCATGTCCACACTCTCGAGGGCTGCAGTTCTCAGGACCTCGTAGATGCAGAATGCGGGTCGCAACTGACAGTGGCTGACAATGAGCTGCCACCTAAACCCAAACCCTAAACCCTAAACCCTAAACCCTAAATCCTAACCCTAAACCCTGAACCCTAAACCCTGCCATGGCAGGCCTTTGCAAAGCGACCCATGCGCACGACGAGCGCAAGCACCAGCCACGCTCTAGTCTACCGAGACGTCCTTCATGGCTGCCTCTTGCAGCGCACGGGTTTAGGGTTTAGGGTTTAGGGTTTAGGATTTAGGGGCTGTCCTTAATTAAGTGTGAAACGCTTGAAAATGCTGAGATGGATTGACAACATGCGTGGCACGTCAGGTCAAATTTCGGACTCCTTGCGCCTTGGGCGAAGAAGACGGTGATCCCCGATCCCGATAAAAACCCAAAACCCAAAACCCAAAACCCTAAAACCTAAACCCTAAAAGGGCATCTGCAGACTCCTGGACAGGTGCACAGAACGAACTTCCCAGTTCTCCGGCTGCCAGTCTGGGTCCCCATCCAAAAAACCCTCCGGCTGCAGAAGGTTCCGAACCAGGGTGCAAGTAGCCAAATCAATTGGCCGGTTGCCACGCGCGTTTCGGATGTTTGGGTCTGCCCTGTGGGCCAACAACACCTCCACCAATTCCGGGCTGCTGAAGAGAGATGCGAAACCTAAAGGCGTGGTGCTCCATTCAGCTGCGGCCTTCATAAAGCCTAGTTCATGGTTGGGATAATATTTAAAAAATAATATTTTATTCCTTATAGGGTTTAAGTACCTTTAAAGAATGCAAAATGCTACCCAACTATGACCAAGAAGCCAGTGCGAGGTGGAGCAACTTGAAGATACATCCGGCAGAGAAGCTCCTTGGCTGGCCCTAAAAACCCTCTGAAGAATATTCCTAAACCCTAAACCCTAAACCCTAAACCCTAAAGCCTAAACTCTAAACCCTAAGCCCTAAACAGATATGATCCTCTTGAACCCAAGAAATAAGGGAAGATATGAAATGCCCCCAGGGCCGACCGAGGCTCTAAGGAATAAAAGGGTGCACCTGCTGAGGACTGAAGGTTCACGTCGGCCTCAGCTTTGAGGAGAAGTTCGGCAATCTCCACCTTGGTATTCTAACGAGGGCACCCCCCCCCCCCCCCCCTTCTTTTTTGTGCTGGTTACTTTATAACTTATTTAAGGGAACTCCGACCACACCAAAAAAAAAGGTACCACGGGGCTACCCAGCCACGGTAAGGGCACCCTTTTTTGGGCTGCTTACTCTATAAGGGAACCTCAAACACAAAAAAAAAAAAAAAGGAAAAGGGTACCACGGGGCTACCCAGCCACAGTAAAGGCACTCGACCTCGAGTTGATGGAGAGGAAGCTGAGCGGCTGCTTGATTCCAAGCCCGATGGCAGACTGAGAAGCATTGGGATTGGCTCTCAGCTCCTGGGATGGCTCTTCTAAACCCCTCTGAAAAATATTCCTGAATGGGTTTAGGGTTTAGGGTTTAGGGTTTAGGGTTTAGGGTTTAGGGTTTAGGGTTTAGGGCTATGATCCTATAAAACCCCAGAAGGGAACATGAAACATGTCCCAAGGGCCTACCTAGTCTCCAGGAGCTTCGAGATCACCAGTGGGTTAACATTCTCTCCGCTTGCCAAGGCCAACACTGGGACGTGCAATGGCGATGCACATGCATTCACATCGGCCCTGTAACCTGGTTGCTGAGTTCGTAAGCCCCCCCCCCCCCCAAAAAAAGTTCATGCTTTCAGTTCTGTAGGGGGAAAATAGTCTCACAGAAAATGTAAAGTGTACTCATTCAGCTGCTAAGATAACGTACCAAGGTCTCGACATCCTCCGCTGTGCGGCAACAGGCCAAGAGAGGAATCCCCTTGCCTGCTAAGTTTGGGTCGGCTTGGCTGTTCAGCAGCTGCTCAAGCACCCAGGGCTGCCTCCAGCCCTGCATCACAGTCAGGTGAACCTAGTTCATGGTTGGGATAAAATAAAACAAATAAGTCTCTGTCCCTTATTGGGTTTTAGTATCCTTAAAAAAGCAAAATGTTACCCAGCTCTGACAAAGGAACGGGCGTGAGGAGTTCCACCAAACCGACTTTGAGCAATGGCGCAATGCTACAGTCCACAGGGCACCTTGCTTCTAACAAGTGGCGGAGTACTTGCGTGTCTCCAGCCAAGGCAGCACATGCTACTGGACTGAGGACCTTCTTCGAGGCCCGCCTCGCCTGCTGAAGGCTTTTGAAGCCAAAGTCTTGCAGGAATTCGCTGAGGGTTCGCTTCTTCTCTGCCTTATCCAGGAGGGACTCGCGACGGGCCAAGAAGTAGCGGCGCATGTTGGGATCCCGTTCCCACGTCACCTGGTGAGAAAGTGCCTGCTCGAAGATTTCGATCACCACGTCTCTGTCACCAGGTTGTGAGAACCTCCACTGTTCTTGGAACTCGGGTACAATCTTGACTGGTAACTCCTGCTTCGCTTCTTAGGAATGTAAAAAGCCCAATTCGCCAAGTGCTTTGAAACCCTAAACCCTAAACTCCCCCGAGGAACACCCCCTCGTGAGGCATGCAGTCGACCCAGTTCACTGGCCGTGCAAAATCCGCCAAATCTGGAGCAGCGATGACGACCATGGGCAGGTCCTGGTCTCCCACAGCTTCGACTCTCACACTAAACCCTAAACCCTAAACCCTAAACCCCAAACCCTAAGCCCTAACCTAAATCCTAAACCCTAAGCCCCAAACCCCAAACCCCAAACCCCAAAACCCCAAGCCCAAAACCCTAAGCCCTAAACCCTAAACCCTAAGCCCTAAACCCTAAGTAAGGTGAGGAAGGCTTCCGGCTTCGGGATTCAGGAGTTTCGTGTTCGTGGAGCTGAGTCCTGGTCTCCAAGAAGCATTTTGCACCACATCTCCGCTCGACACCTTGGTGGCCCAGTAACCATATTGCAATAAGGGTTTAGGGTTTAGGGTTTTTTCCCACCCGTGTCGCAAGCGTTTATGGGGAAAAGGTCGGTCATTGCTAGAGCCACAGTTCAGGAAATGGTTGCAAATTGCTATAGGCGGGCCTCAGGGTAGCACTTACCCTAAGCCCTAAGCCCTAAGCCCTAAGCCCTAAGCCCTAAGCCCTAAGCCCTAAACCCTAAACCCTAGGCACTTACAGGTGGCATTCCAAAGCTACTACTAGCAACTGAACAGGAACACTTCAAAGGCTGAAGGGGCTCTGTTCGGGGACCTCAAATGCCCACCTTTCCAAAGAATCCTGGTTCCCCTCCCCCGCTCATCAGCCTGCCCAAACGAAGATGTAAGGCCGAGGTGTAACACACGAACACTAAGAAGGCATTGCAGGCCCCCTTGCTTTCTTAGCTGGGGTTGCAGGGTGTTCAATTCAACACCTACCTTCCCCCCCCCCCCATCTTGTCCCGGGCCTTTAGAGCAGTATCCAAACTTGCCAAGATAAACGCAACACAGATGACCCACGAGAGAGCACTCTGGACTCAAATGGGACCTGGCTGCTGTTTCGGTCCATACTTCAGCACAGCCGTTCTTCTAAAGACCGAAATGGAATAGGTGTATTTCCGATCCCTCTACTTACAGAGCTGTAGTGACATGATTGTGGTCAGATGCATCAGGCCTGGCGTTTGACAGAGCTAGGGTTTAGGGTTTAGGGTTCAGGGTTCAGGGTTTAGGGTTTAGGGTTCAGGGTTTAGGGTTCCTTTATAAGGGAACCTTGAACCCAAAAAAAGGGGAAAGGGGTACCGCTGGGCTGCCAAGACACCACCCCCTCGACAGCCAGCTGCTGAAGTTGCAAACCTTTCCTGTGTCATGATGAAGAACTGGTGGGACCAGGGCCACAAAGATTTGGCACGCCTGAACAAACGAAGGAATGGACAGAATGTACTCCTCCTGCTTCGAATGCCTCCGTGGCTTCGAGCTCTTGTATGCAAACGTGCGCGAGCAGCTGAGCCAATCCTAGGATGACCCTTAGCAAACACTGAAGAATTCTGTCAATATGATCCTCTCAAACCCAAGAACGGAAATGTAGAACATGTCCCAAGGGCCTCCCTAGATTCCTGTTCGGGGAGGACTGATTCCGAGGCTTGTACATGTGACTCCGACTGGGGAATGCTGATCCAGTCCAGCCAAAGAAAGCCTTCCCTAATTTGGGATTTCTGCGTCGTGGTCAAGGACTTCACGTCTCCAAAGAACTGCGAGGCTGCATCGTTCGTGACGGAGAGTTCATTGTAGCAGATGTTGCGCAAGCAAGCTTTCAAGACATTCAGCTGCTGCCCACCGGGATCAGGATCATCAAGCGAGGTCCACTGGTGCGATATGAAGATGCAGAAGGATCCAACCCGGCGTTTCTGAAGCAAGCCCATCTGCAACAAGTCCTCATGCTTGGGTAGAGGAAGGTCCATGGATAAGAAGTCCATGACCTTTAACAGACACCCACATCGAGATCCGGGGCTCGATCGGAGGTAGCGATGGATGGCTCTGGCACGTCCCCATGATATCGGAGCCGTGCAAGCGCACAACGTGAAACTGGAAACACAAAAAAGAGATCGGCACCCCCGAACTGCCCGTTAATAAAGGAGGCTTATATACCCTACTATTCTGGTAGAAGGGTAGTTGGGGGGTGCTGGAAGACGGGCACCTTTAGGGCCACAAAGCCTGCGCAATCAAAAGCCGGAATCTTCAGGCTCACAGAGTTCTAGGCCTTGAGAGGTCCAGGGTAGGGTTTAGGGTTTAGGGCTTAGGGTTTAGGGTAGGGCCCTGTAGCCTTTGACAGCCTTGGCTTATAGGCTTTGGCCTGGTTCCAGAGTCTCGAACCTGAAGCAAAAATTTTAGGGTTGAGGGTTGCCAAGAAAACTGAAGCATCTGCTGTCGGCCAGGCGGCTTCTACACAGAACTATATCCGGGAAACCCTAAACCCTATAAACCCAAAAACTAAACCCGAAATATACCAACAAATCTTTCCCCTCCGTCTTGGACTTCAGGGTCTGGTTTAGGGTTTAGGGTTTAGGGTTTAGGGTTTAGGGTTAGGGTTTAGGGTTTAGGGTTTAGGGTTTAGGGTTTAGGGTTTAGGGCTTAGGGCTTAGGGCTTAGGGCTTAGGGTTTAGGGTTTAGGGTTTAGGGTTTAGGGTTTAGGGTTTAGGGTTTAGGGTTTAGGGTTTAGGGTTTAGGGTTTAGGGTTTAGGGTTTGGGGTTTAGGGTTTAGGGCTATCTGCGTCGAGGGTACTGGCAGATCTCAGGAGAGCGCGATTTTTTCTCTGGGAGCGCCAGCGACCAGAGTGCTTGTAGCTCTGCACCGGTCACCTTAAACCCTAAACCCTAAACCCTAAACCCTACACCCCTAAATCCTAAACCTGTGAAGGCAAGAGGGGGAACTAAAAGCCGGTAGAGTCGTCTGCATCCGCGGCATCCTCCCGCTGCACCGGCTCCGGTGCCTGCTACTACACGCGCATCTGCTTGGAGAGGGCTTGGGGTTTAGGGTTTAGGGTTTAGGGTTTTAGGGTTTAGGGTTTAGGGTTTAGGGTTTAGGGTTTAGGGTTTAGGGCTTAGGGTTTAGGGTTTAGGGTTTAGGGTTTAGGGTTTAGGGTTTAGGGTTTACGGTTTAGGGTTTAGGGTTTAGGTTCGTTTAGGGGGAGGGGGGGGGGGCTACTATAATTTCTATTGAGGACTGTTCGTATAAGGGGGGACATCCCAAAATGTAGGGAATATTCTCTTTAGTGGGTTCTTAGGGCAAATAGCATACGGGATGACCTACCGAATTTCTGATCCCAGGCTGCCCGAAACCTCCTTTGTGACCCCCTAAACCCACTTGGCATGGACGCCTCTTGGAAAAAGACCCTGAAACCCCTTGAATCACGGACTGCAATCCCCTAGCCCTAGTGTAAACTGCAGAAGGGTTTAGGGTTTAGGGTTTAAGGACGAGTAGTGCTGGGATTTCCTTTAGTATACCTTTTGGGGTATGGGGGTAAGGATGTTCCAACTTCTGGGGGTTTACTGTAATCTTAGGGTAGTTTCATGGCCCTCTTAGTATGCTTAAAACGTTACCCCCTTATACACCCTCTAAAACCCAAGGCTCAGAACTCAGAACCCTTTAAAGAGGGCAAGGGGCCATATTAATCCGAGCATCTGTTTAATTAATGCCCCCACATTTAAAGAGTTTTTTTTGGCCGGAAGCCCGCCGGAAGACTACTTTCCATTAGGGGTGGATTTCGTATGGGGTCCAAAAATCTGTCGGCAGGCTTCTTGTTTTGCTTGCGGAGACGCGAAGCACCTCAGGGATCTGCAGCTTATTGTCTTTAATGGGGAATCAATGCAGGGCCATGGTCCAATTATTGCGGAACCCTGCCTTCCTTATTGCGGTGGGGGGGGGGGGGGCCTCCCCCAATTAAACAGATGCTCGGATTAAGGGCCCATGAAACCCCCTAAACCCTAACTACACCTAAACCCGAGCCCGCAAGCCATCTCCTGCCGGCCTTGGCACGAATCCCGGCATGAGACAGTAGCGCCTGGGAACAAGATTTCTAAGAAACATTCAACATACCCCCAGGGCATCCCCCTTAAAAGAAATTGTAGGGGTTTAGGGTTTAGGGTTTAGGGTCTATCATATTATACTTTCATAGGTTAAGGGGCATGGGTTTGGGGTATGATGAGTTATTCTTAGAACATCCAGGCGCAGAGTGTCTTGGTCCACTCAAGGGCTGAGGGATTTTAGGGTTTGGGGTTTGGGGCTTAGGGTTTCAACCCCATTCCCACAAAGCAGTTCCCCATTCATTGTGGCCCCACAAAATCCTGAAACATTGCCGCAGTCAACCCTGAGCCAAGCGATGCTGCCTAAACCCGAAACCCGAAACCCGAAACCCGAAACCCTAAACCCTAAACCCTAAACCCGAAACCCTAAACCCTAAGACCTAAACCCAACACATCGGCAGCCCTAGGCGGATTCCAGGGGGCGAGGCCAGCTCGTACAAGACGCCCTCGATCTTCAAGAGCGTGGACTGGCGGCTTACGTCCCTAAACCCTAAACCCTAAACCCTAAACCCTAAACCCTAAACCCTAAACCCTAAACCCTAAACCCTAAACCCTAAACCCTAAATAGCCCTCTATACCCCTTCAATCAGGGATATGCCTGAAAACCAAAATTAAGGCCTAAACCCTAAACCCTTTTTGCCACTGGACTGAGGCCAGTACTAAAGCCTAAACCCTCCTACCCTTCAAAAGCAGACATGGAGCAGAATTTGAGGCTCGAAGCGTGGGGGTCCGCAGTGTTACCTTAGAACCTTGAAAAAAAAATGTTTTCTTTTAAACTAATTTCTTGGGCTTTATATACAACAGATAAGTCTAAGGGGGCATCGCGTTCGTGCAGCCTGACCCTAAACCCTAAACCCTAAACCCTAAACCCTAAACCCTAAACCCTAAACCCTAAACCCTAAACCCTAAACCCTAAACCTAAACCCTAAACCCTGAACCCTGAACCCTGAACCCTGAACCCTGAACCCTAAACCCTAAACCCTAAACCCTAAACCCTAACCGAATCCATGACAGTAAAGCTTGCATCTCTGGCCGCACCCGCACGGCCCCCATCTTCTTTCCCACGCCGCCCGGCAGGTAGACGAGGTCCTCATGGCTGCAGCGCAGGGTTTAGGGCTTCTTTTTTTGCCACCCGCCTGGCAAACCCCCTCTGGGACAGGGTTTCTTTTTTGGCCACCCGCTTAGCTGACCTCTCGGACAGGGTTTAGGGTTTAGGGTTTAGGGCTTAGGGTTTTCTATTCTCAACTGATCTTATCTATCCGGGCAGTTCTCAAGGTAGGGGTACCACTTGTATACACCAAATGGAACAGAATCCCCCTTGAAGGGAACCCCCAAAAGGGTACCCCTATTTCGTAAACCCCCATCTGGCTGAGAGAAAGAAAACGAGAAAGTGAGAGAGGGAGAGGAAGGTCCCTGCCTTAGGGGCGGAGCGAACGAACCCCAAAATTAATGTCATATACCCCATACGGCTATAAGCCCTCTTGTAGGTAATGTGAACCCCGAAACCCTCTTGGTCCTTAAGGTGTGAAAGGCCTTAAGCAGAGCAAACGCCCAGGTAACCCTAAACCCTAAACACTGAACCCTAAACCCTAAACCCTGAACCCTAAACCCTAAACCCTAAACGCGCGTTTTGGGCCCTTGGTCCTGAACACCCTGGCACACGCCGTCCACGCACGCCAGGCACTTCTCCACATCTCCGACGGCCTGGCGTTGAGCCAGTTTAGGGTTTCGGGTTTAGGGCTGAGCCACCGAGGCTCCTGGTGGCCCCCGGTGATTTTCCGAAACCCGAGTTGCTGGCACTTCGGGCTCTCCCTCTCTCCCTCTCTCCCTCTCTCGCTCTCTCGCTCTCTCTCTCTCTTTGTTTCCGCTCTCTCTCTCTCTCTCTCTTTTTCTATTTTTTCTCTTTCTCTCTTTCTCTCTCACACGATCGAGCCTCACGCCCAGCACCGGCTTTGCGAATTGCAAGGCGCCCGACCTGCAAGGAAAACGACGTGGGGCCCAGGCCTACAGGATGCCAGCAACACTCCTACAAAAGGGCATGTTCGGTTTAGGGTTTAGGGTTTAGGGTTTAAAGGGTTTAGGGTTTAGGGCTGAGGGCTTAGGGTTTAGGTTCCCCCTTATGCTTATACGAACAGTTCTTGCTAGGCATTATAATATGGGGTACTATAATGCCTATTAGGATATGCTTATACTAACAGTTCTTGATAGGGATGAGAATATGGGGCACTAGAATCCCTATTAGGGACTGCTAGTATAAGGGTGAACATCCCCACTCCTGCCGCTCCGTGTCTCATGGAACACTTCGCAGGCCTCGCCAGTCAAGTCCATGAGGCCTCCATGCGGACACCATCACCGGGTTAGATTTTGAGGGCCCCATGAATCCAGGGTTTAGGGTTTAGAATGAAAATTACATGTTTATGGCTTTATAAGGAGTATGTAGGGGGACTAAGGGTAATAATACTACCAAACTATGTTCAAGCCTACCCCTGATCAGATGTTGGGCTCCAGGCTCCATTACATGTGCCGGGGCACTCGCTCAGTCACAGAACTCTGACAAAGTCCCATGCGTCACAGCCGAGCAGATGGAACAGTAAGATGCCGCAGAACTCTTCTTAGTATTCTGATACGTAAACATCATATGAATATATTTCTGATACACTACTGGAATAGTATTGTACGATAATACCATAATATTATTCCAATATTATCTTTTTACGTACATAAAATATTCGAGTGTATATTCCTACTACTCTATCATTATGCTACTTTTATATTCATTAGTATACTGTACTTTAAATCTTGCTCAAGACCAAGTGAATGCCACAATGCTCCAGAAAGCTCCCGCCTCCTCCCCTCCCTCCCCTACCCCCCTCGCCCTCGAGCCTCCAAGATACTCCGGCATGGTCATGTCGAAGCTCCTCGGCATTTAGACAAGTTCGCCCAAAACCCTAAACCCTAAAACCACAAAACCCGAAAACCCTAAAACACAAGCCTTTTTTATCTCGTTTGAAGCTCCTGAGCTTGCCACCACAGTCAACCAACATTCTGTCACCCGCAAGCCGCAAGACGCCCGCAGTCCAGGTTGTGGAGCTGGTGTTTTCAAATCCGATCAGAGGCTCGAGGTTCAAGAGTTTTAAGTAGGATCGGTGTTGCACGCCAGGGTCAACCCTAAACCCTAAACCCCAAACCCTGAACCCTAAACCCTACACCCTAAACTCTAAACCCTTCAAAACTCGGAGTCTGAGCGTGTGGCAAGCCACTGGCCGACTGCAGCCTGGAGTATGGCCACTGGGAACGTGTCACATGACTAGATTGCCCACCCTTTTCTTCATAAAGGGGTTTAGGGTTTAGGGGGTTTGAAAGGGAACCTACACCCCCCCCCCCCCCCCCCCCCCCTAAAAAAAAAAAGGCAATAAAGGGCGCTACTGAGCATCCTAGAGGATGTATGTCAAGAAGCTCACACATGCTCACTTCTCTGAAGCACATCTCGAGCTTGCATCGGCACGGACTCATGGGTTTCCCTACAACCCCCCTCTATACTAGCCCCCCCCTCGGTTTTCCCCTTAACTGACCTTAATATCCCTAAATAGCCACAGTGATGGGGGGGAACCTAAGGGGGGATGGGTAAAGTGGGGTAGTAGGGGAACCAATGAAGGACTGAACGTTCCAAAGCTCCAAGTGTCCGCACTCGGCTCGAGTCAGGAGTTTCTGCTCCTGCGCCGCAGCTGCTCAGCCACCCACCGCCCACCCACCGTGGCCGTGATGCTAGCGTTTAGGGTTTAGGATTTAGGGTTTAGGGTTTAGGGTTTGGGGTTTAGAGTCAAGCTCGGAACACGCAGCTCTGAATTCTTAGACGTCGAAAACCCGGAGCTCCACACTACCCCCCATTCGCCACACATCCCTCGGCCTCTTCCCGAACTGTCAACGCGGCCTCTAAGCCCGAACCTTATAGACCCTGAACCGCCACAAAGCGGCCTTCAGGAAGGCCCTGTATGCGACCGCTTCGGCAAGCTCCTGACGAAATTGTTCAATAAATATGTATATATATATATATATTTATTTATTTATTTATTCATACACACACACACACACACATATATATATATATATGTGTGTGTGTGTGTATGTATATATATATGTATATGTATCTATCTATCTATCTCTATATATATATATACATGATTATATATATATATATGTACGTATATCTATATGCATATGTTGCTAATTTTTATGATAGGTATACGTGTTTTGGTTTGATCTTACATAAATGTATCCTATACACTTCTTGTCCAGTGTATATATATATATATGTATAAGTTATATATATATATATAGATACAAATGAGGAAAATGTGCACATATAAATTAAACTAAACGAAATAAATAAATATATATATATATATAAAGATATATATATATATATATACACATATAAAGCTTAGTTTGTACAATGGCCCTTAACTTGATTTGATACATGACACCTCTATCACATGGCTGGGTAACCCTTCTAACTGTGAAAACTACTCAAACTGAGCAAACCGAAGGGGTAATCTAATCAATTTTTGAACTGGGCGAGCTAGCCTATTGAAACGAGGAGCCGTATTGAACGATTTCATCTTTCAACGCAATCTTTCATTAAGTAGCCGCGAGGATAAGATATTCAGTTCGGTTCGTCAAGTTAACCACAAATTAGATCAGCCATGATGTAACGAACTAAAACAGTAGGACTGGCCACCAATTGGAATATCAAGCTACTAACCGGGTGGTAGTGTCATATTATTTGGAGACATTACATTAAATTACCGATGCTTTGACATGGAAATGCAGGAATATAGGGAGTTTTGTTACTGCAAGTAGCTTGACACATAGTCGCATTCAGAATAGCGGGCTAGTTTGGGTATATCTGTCAAAGGCTTAGTGACTCAAAAACGGTCTTGGGTTCTAGTTGTGATTCATCGGGCTGGCCATGGACAGGAAGATTGAAAGATAATGAAGGGCAGCTATTGGGACAACCGATGGTTCAACTGAGCTTCAGCGGGAAGGCGAATCATCGGCTAATCCATTTCAGGGATCACTGCAGCAACTTAACAAACAATGGTCTGTGAAGGAAGTCTCCCAGCTATAAATGTCGCACCATCAGATTGGCAGTCTGGCAGTATGCTGAGGTTAGCATTCGAATTACGCGGGGTTGTAAATCTCAGGAACATAGCAGGCCTCCAACTAGTTTATTCAAATGAGTTAGATTATCTGCATTTTCTCTTGGGGCGGGGGGACATATACAAGTAAGCGTGTACTTCCGTAAGTGCGCTGATTCTCAAACATGTGATTGAAACCTAGCTATGCATCATAGCATATTATAACAGTTTTCTTTCACAGCAGATCTTAACGATACTATCCTGACTTCTATTCTAATACATATGATTGGCGAACACCCCCCAGTTCAAATTGCAAATCGTATTTTGCTAATCTGATTGGAGGTTAGCTGGTTCAATCAGTTACACAATATGTCTGCTCGATTCTACGTAAGTCATACATCGAATTGAATGATGTCTCAATGACCTTTCAACACATCATGGGGTTTTGCAGGATCTCAGCCCCAACCTCCAGCAATTTTGCGGCAATAGTGATGCTTCCTACTCCTCTTGGCACTGAATGTCCTGATTAACTCTTAAAGCTAACAGATGTAAGTATATTCTCTCTATGCTTGCAGAACAAAAGGGGTGGCAAGTCGAATGATAGACAGTGCGCTGGTGAGCACGGTGGGCATGCCATTTCAGTACATATACCCGGTGCTCGGCGAAACGCTGCCGCTTTCGGGCAGCACCACGGGCGTATCTAAAACTTCGAGATGCGCCAGACGCCTTCACATCATCTTGTCAATGTGGCCAAAAAGATACAAGAGATCAGAAAGGCTGCATGCTTCAAGGGCTGGTAAGTTCTTGTGGAAGCCTATGAAAACCTGCTCCAAAGTATCACTCCTCCCATGCAGTAAAACGTCATGCTTGCAATGTTCAGGCATGCACTTGAAGTGAAGCATCACCTTCCCTCGGCCTCCGAAAGCCTCAAAGAGGGATACGACGCCAAGTTCCGATCTGTCTTCAACAACTCAGCTTCCACTGCACGATAGATGTCAAGCGGTCTCTGTATCTGCTTCCCTAGCCTGTACGCAAGCACTGACCCCCGAATTGAGCTGGCTTCCATTCGCAGACATTGCCAGCGTCCACAGCATGAGTTGGAAGCCCTTTTTTCATGATTCCGTGCAGGCACACTGTCTATTTTCTTGTGGCAGGCACTGATAGAGTGGTGTCTGCCTTTTCCCGGAAGATAATCTCGGTGTGTTGTCCCTAATCCCTAAACCCTAAACCCCAAACTCTAAACCCTAAGCCCTAAACCCTAAACCCTAAACCCCAAACCCGAAACCCCGCCCAGCGCAACACGTTGCATCCTCCAAGGCCCCACTGAAGCCGCCTGTGCGCCTCGGCGCAGATTGTCCGATTTAGGGTTTAGGGTTTAGGGTACTTGGAGGTGAATGGGTAGTTTTAAGAAGCAGTTTAGGGCTTCAGGGGTGATGGGTTTAGGGACCTGGGGGTCTGGGGTTAGGGGTTTTGGGGGTTTAGGTTTCTAAGCAAGGTAACCAATGGTTAGAAACCCGACTTAGGGCACTGAAAGCCCTACTTCAAATGTACACGTGAAGATGCAAGTAGTAGCCAGTTGAGTTTGTTCTTGCAACCCAGAGGCCTGACAACTAAAGATGTTCGAAGCCAAGAAAATCATATGAAGACCTTTGGGGACCAAATTGACCCTAAAATTGGGTGCATACAACCTATACTACGAAAGTCAATGTTAAGGTAAATGACCCCATAAACACTTTGAAGTTCGGGGTCATCTTTTAGGACTGGGTTCCTGCAATACGTATTGTGGACTTTTGTGGTGATTTTAGCGGTATCCCTCCATCTTGGCAAAGCTACTTATTTATACTTATATACCTATATATATATGTGTGTGTGTGTGTATTTCAAGATGAGAAACTGAGCACAAAGTCTTGCAACAACCAACAGGTAAGTCAGAGATGTCAGGCAACAGCAATCCTTCACGAGTGGTCGAGACCCGAGCACCACCCTAAACCCTTGAACCCATCAGATGCGTCTTAAATAAATAAACACACACACATATATATATACATATATATATATATATTATAATGTCACATGCTCAGATGATGGTCTTTTGCAATCGGCCACATGCTTGCAGCAAAGCCAGGGGGGATGACACCGCAGCCTAAGGGGTTTAGGGTTTAGGGTCTTAACCCATGAAATCTTCATTGCCGGCGTAAATCTCCACAGCGCAGCCCCCCATCACAGTAGTAAGGCCTAGCAGATTGCACCGGGCCAAGGCCGCAAGTCTCCTGCCAAGCAGCAGAGTATGGATTAGGTCAACCTCTACATACTTAACATCTAAGATCACAAATAAAAAACACATATAAATAAATAAATAAATATATATATATACACA